TCCCCTCGTCGTGCCTTCGGCACGTCTCCGAGTTTCCCCCCGCCCTCCTCCGAGAGACCTCCGACGGCCGTCGGCCCCCGGGCGGCCGGCCTGGCCGAGCTCGGCATGGCCTCCGCATCCCGGCGCCTCCAGCTCGACTCGAGCCCCAAGCGCCCCGGCTCGTCGAGCAGCTCGCCGGCGCGGGCACATCCCATCGTCGAGCTTGCTCAACGTCGGGTTCAGCGCTTCTCGAGCCCTGCGCCACCAGCGATTCCCGGACGCAGGGTATACCACCTCGACCTCGAGGCTAACCGCGGCGAAAGGCCGTCTTCTTCTGGATCCTTGAACGCCCCCGGCGCAGCAGCGTCTTCCCCGGCCTCACCATCCTCACCGGTCCCGAACACCAGGGCGCGTCTCGACTCGAGCGAGTCTCGATCGCGGACGTCCAGCCCGCTGCCTCACACGAGCACCACTGCAGCCCAGCTGCAGCAGCAAAAGCAAGGGAATGGCAGCGTGTCGGGCGATGACGAGGACGAAGAGGTCATCGCCGAGGGCCCCGCACCAACCGCGCTGACGCCTCGCCCGAGAAAGATGCGCAGCCGCGAGGCCAAACGCAAGCCCGTTACGCTGACCAACCTGCAGATGGCATCTCTATCGACGCCCGAGCTCCACCTTGCCTCGGACCCGATGCTGGACACCGAGGAGCCCTCGTTTCTCCGGCGACTTGGCCGGCCGACCTTGGGCAAGGCGCCCGTCTCGCAGGACAACGTCAACACGGTCGACAGCAATCCCACCAGCGGCAACCTGCATACCCGCACCCGGAGCTCGGAGCTGGTGGCCAACCAGGTTCCCAGTGTCGCCTACTCCAGCTTTTCGGCTGCGATGAACGCCGTCGAGACTGACGCGAGGCCGTCGATTCCCTCGTCGTATAGCCGGGGGCAAGTCAGCGGCGCTCGGCCAAAGACCTCGACTGGATTCGACGTCGCCGACGCTCGTCCTCGATCACACGACAGCGGCGGCCCCGGCAGCCGCCCGGCCTCACCGTCCGTTTGGCAGAATGGCAACCCTAGCACGGAGACCCTGAGCCCCTCGGCCGAGAGGCCGCCGTCGTCTCCATCGTCCTCGGCCAGCCCGGCGCTAGGCAATGCCAACACGTGGTTCCAGCGGCAGCGACGGTGGAGCGTCAACACGCGCTCGCCCGAGCTAAGGCCGTCGACGGCCAACGCGGACGGCGAAGACGGCCTCGCACATCTGTCGAGCGCGCTCAGCGCGTCCAGCATCGCGACCTTGGGCACCGACGCCGGCTTCTTTTCCGAGGGCGATGAGCTTTCGTCTAGCGGTGCGGGTGCCCACACCGATACATCCCTTGGCGTCGACCAGGTCCACACCCTCGGCCTCTCTCTCGAATCTCTGCGATCCGCTCGCACCTACCTGGTCCGAGAGCTCAGCCGGCTGACGCCTTCGGAGATGGGTGACGACAGCGTGCGGATCGCCAACCTCGCCTGGTTCACCCGCGAGGCCGACGCGGAAGCGCGCGGCGTCAACATGGACTCGACGCGCGAGATGTTCGAGTTCTGGAAGAGCATCTCGGACGGCGTGCTGCTTTGCCTGCTGGCCAACCGGGTGCGGCCAGGCTCCATTGACCGCATCGACCGACGCGACGTCGAGTGGGTCAAGGCCGACAACATTTCGCGCTTCCTGCGCGCGGCGCGCGACCACCTCGGCCTACGCTCCAAGGATCTCTTCCAAACCCTCGACCTGACGGACGCTACTGTGGAAGGCCTGCTGCGTGCCTCGCACACCATTCTGGTCATCGAGAGGCTTTCCAGGCGTTCGACGCAGCTCGCGCCGTCCCGGTCGTACCGACCGCCGTCGTCCGACGCCTATTCGAGCCCCTCGGATCGCCTTTCTCCGCCCGCCACGCCGAAGAGCCGCCTCGAATCGCTCAGCTCGTCGCCGGACCAGGAAGCCAGCGCCGAGCGGACGCGAGCCACAATCCAGCAGAACCGGCGAGAGGCCGAGAGGATTCTGGTCTCCATGGCGCGGCCGGAGCCCTTGGCCGCAGAGGCCAGCGTCAAGTCGAGGCGGAGACGCTCGGGCGAGGTCGGCAGTTCGGTGCTGCCGGCATGCAAGATGCGAGGCTCCTCGATCACCTTCGCGGACAACGTCAAGGCCTCAAGCACGAGCGGCGACGAGGAGAGCCGGATGCCCTACCGAGACCGCCGCTTGAGCGAGTCTGCCATCAGCCTGACTGGAGTGGCCGAGGAGGAGGCTGAGGATGACGCTGGTGCTCCACAGCCGAACGCCCTGCCTGCCGTGTCTCAGGCGCGTCCACCGAGCCGAGCCGGCGAGGTGCGGAGAGGCAGCAGTGAGTCGGAAAAGTCTCAGAAGGGGGCCAAGTCGTCCACAGCCACATCCACCGCCGGCTTTAGCAGCTCGCCGCTCGCGCGGACGTCGTCGCAGCGCCGCATTAGCGCCGAGCTTGGCCTCGGCCTAGGCCAGCTGCCGCGCTCGGTCATCGGCTCCACCGAAAACCTGGACGACTATATGTATCCGGCAGCGCAGAGCAGTCCATCGCGCATACCGCCCACGCGTCGCCACAGCGCGCGACTTCAGGCGGTGCCGTCGCTGCTCAACCCGTCGCGCGAGTCGCTCCTCACCCTGGGCGGAAGCGATGGCGACAGCTCTCTCGCGGCCCCGCAGCACGTGCCGCGCGTGCCTTTCCCAAAGTCGGCGCTGCAGTCGTCGTCGACGTCGTCTTCCGCATCGGCGGACTCTCCCGGTGCAGCACGAAGGATCGGACGTCACCTCTCGCTCAACGCTGGCTCGAGCGGCGTCGATTCGCTCTCGTCGGTGGCAAGCAGCGCCTCGGTGTCGTTCGGCCAACCTCTTCCCGCCCGGTACGGTCCGAGGCCGGCCTATCGCCACATGCGCTACTCTTCGGATCTTCATGTCCCGAGCATGCCGGCCCGGCCGGTCTCGGTGGGTCGCAGCCCGGATCTGTCGAGCGAGGAGCGCTCGTTTGCCGCCGGCTCGTCGTCGCGCGCGCGCTTCGACTCCGAGGTGGGCTCGATCTACACGAACACATTTGGAAGCCCCACCGCTGACGAGGGCGGAGGCGCGTCGGCAGCATCGTCTTCGGCATCGGCGGTGCCGCGGATGAGCCGCGAGCCGTCGGTGGCGCCATCTTCGAAGCACAAGCTGGTCGTGGTCGAGGAGGGCAAGCCCAACATCACCTACCAGCTCGGCAACTGCATTGGCCGCGGCCAGTTTGGCTCCGTTTACCGCGCCCTCAACCTCAACAGCGGCCAGATGGTGGCGGTGAAACGCATCAAGCTCGAGGGACGCTCGGACGACGACGTGACGCAGCTCATGAACGAGGTCGATCTGCTCAAGAGCCTTGTTCACCCGAGCGTCGTCAAGTACGAGGGGCTCGTCCGCGGACCCGAGGTTGTCTCCATCATCCTCGAGTACGTCGAGAACGGCTCGCTGCTCCACACGCTCAAGGCGTTCGGCAACTTCCCCGAGAAGCTGGTGGCGAGCTACGTCGTAAAGATTCTCGAGGGCCTCAACTACCTCCACGAGCAGAACGTCGTTCACTGCGATCTCAAGGCGGCCAACATCCTCACCACCAAGAATGGCAACGTCAAGCTGTCCGACTTTGGCGTCTCTCTCAACCTCAAGGCGGTGGAGCAGATGAACAACAAGAGCAACGACGCCATCGGCACGCCCAACTGGATGGCCCCCGAAGTCATTGAGCTCAAGGGCGTCACCACTGCCGCCGATATCTGGTCGCTCGGCTGCACCATCATCGAGCTGCTGACAGGCAAGCCGCCCTACTACGACATGCTGGCCATGTCGGCCATGTTCCGCATCGTCGAGGACGACTGCCCTCCCATCCCAGAGAAGTGCTCGCCGCCGCTGCGCGACTTGCTTCTCCAGTGCTTCCACAAGGACCCCGTCCAACGTCCTAGCGCCGAAACTCTCTTCGAGCACCAGTGGGTGCGCCAGACGTGGTCCGGCCACAAGGAGCTCCGCCCGCAGGACAGCGTTCCCTTCCTGCGACGGATTAGCGCCGACCTCCGCAAGCTCGATCCGGCAATGTTCCATCGCCAGGCTGCGGCAGCTGCGAGCGCCAACGACACTGCAGGTCAGCAAGTGCCCGGATCCATGGAGCGCTCGTCGTCGTCGCCGCCACCGACGCTGGCCCGTCCGGGCCTAGATGGCAAGCGTTCGCTCACTACGCCGGCCGCCGTCGACGCCGACGCGCAGCAGCAGCAGCACCTCCCCGCGCACGGTCAGGTCCCGACCAGCTCCCCGCCCACTAATGCGGTCGCGCTCGCCGCATTGTCGATGCTCCCCCACCACAGTGGAGGCTCTGTTGATACTGCATCGGCTGCTGCGGTCAGCATGATCGGCCGATCGCCCGACGTTGATCCTGCATCGCCCACCGGGCTTTCGCCGCTTCAGGACCCCTCGCTGCTTGACCTCAGCGTCCTCGGCAACGAGCATGCCAAGCCTCACGCCTTTGTCAAGAGCACCTTCAGCAAGGCGGTGCGGTGCAAGATCTGCAGCGAGCCAGTCAAGAAGCACGCCGTGCTCTGCGAAGAGTGCGGTCTGGTGTGCCATGCCAGGTGCGCCGGGCAGGCGCCGTCGCCATGCAACCTGCGCGCTCAGCTCCTCATGTTTCAGGCGCGCACCTCGATGGACCGGCCGCGCGTCGTCAGCCCGGCCCCTTCGCTCGTCGCCGCACCCAACGCGGCTGCTGCGGGCGCCAATGGCAACCACCTCCCCGTCCAGCAGCCCGCTTCGCCGACGTCTCCTGCGCTTTCGGCCACCGCGTCATTCCGCTTCCCGTTTGGCATCAAGCGATCGTCGAAGCAGTCAACGGCCGAGCCACCCGCGCCTGCGCTACGGATCTCGACCGAACAGCAGGGTTTCGACAACAATGTCTCTCCACTCGGCACGCCGCTGGGCCCAGTGGGCGGAGTCGCGATGATGCCGACCCCGGCGGCAACCAAAGGTTCGCGCGAGGCGACCAACCAGCAGGGATCGGCACCGCGAAGGCGTCGAATCTCGTTGATCCCCGGCCGGCAGCCATCGCCCTCGCCCGACGTTGCCATGGCCGCTGCCAATTCGGCCTCGACCAACAGCTCCCAGAGCGGCCTTAACGGTCATCGGCGCCCGAGCTCGGTCAGCTACGGCAGCGTCAGCGGCTCCAGCAGCATCTCAAGCCACGCTGGCGGCAGCGCCGTGATGCTCAAGACCACGTCCGATAGCTCTTCCAGCAACCAGCAGCACCAGCAGGCCCCCTCCTCGTCGCAACCGCCGTCTTCGTACCAGCAGCCGCTCGGCCTCCAGCAGCAGGGCACGAGCACACCTCAACTGCTCCCGCACGGCTCGCGCGACGGCTCGCAGCCTGAGCCGACGCGCTTCCGCCGCCGGCTGAGCTCCGGATTCGGCTTTGGCCATTCGGAGGTATCGCTGCACGGCGGCCGTTCGGCCAGCGCATCGATGCGTAAGGGCGGCGACATGGGCGGTGCTGCAAACGACCGCATCAACCCCGCCACGGGCCAGGTGACGCCGACTGCCGCGCTGGCCGAGAGGCGCAAGTCAAAGCGCAACGCCTCAAAGTCGGACTGCACCATCATGTGAAGTAGACGCCGCTGGCCTCGACGCGCCGCATCGATCCACCCTGGCCCCAACCCCCTCCCCTTCGCCTTCAACTTCTCGGACTTCGCCCAAACTCGCCCTGGGGTCCAATACACGTACCCAGGGCCCTTCGGACCGCATGCATTTCCCACCTTCAGCTTTTCTCTTCGATCTCTGTCGCCACCCGACTCGCGCGCCTCGTGCCGACGCCGTGGCGACCTTCCTGCTCCATCGATACCTGGATCGCCGGTCCTGGACCGATCTCGTGTGCTTGCCAGCATCTCGCGTCGGTGATCCCGTCCAGCGGCCTCGCCCTCGCCCAAGGCGGCGACCACGGCTCCACTCCATTCGTTACGCTCCCGATCATCGTGCCTCGCCTGCCCCACTCTGCCCGGCCGACCGCCCTTCATCTGTACCACTACCGCCAGGCTCGCATTCTGCTCCGACTCCTTGCCCCTCCTGCCCGCTCCCTTTTACCCTCGGCGCACAATCCCTTAGTGGGCCTTCTTCGTGCTCCTCCTTAGATGCCTGGCCGCCAGAGCCTCTTCCTCGTGGCCGCCCGATGCCCTCATCGTCTGCAGGGAGCCCAGCGCGCCCAGCAACGACAGGCTCGAGCGGTCAAAAGACGGAGGAGGCGAAGGCGATGACGTTTTCCTTCCCCCCCTTCCCATAGCGACGACCACGCTTCCGCTCATGCCCTGGACAGCGGCCCTCTCCGCCCAGTCAAGACTTGGATACGAGGGCCGCGATTCCACTGTGACGAAACCTGCAATATAACGGCACGCCACGCACGACCTCACGAACTGGGCAGCCTCCCATCCCATCCCATCCCATCCCATCCCATCCCATGCCAATTCATACCATCTCGCTGCATTCGATCGCAATCGCCTGTGCCTGTGCGACGCTCGTGCCTGTCTCCCCACATTTCCTCCTCCGCACCCTGGCTCATCCTGCTGTCTTGTACGTACCTTCTCCCAAGTAGACATCGTTTTCCCACACCTAGCCATGAACACCTGCTGACCTTGCTCTCTTCTCTTACCCCCTCCCTCTCTCTCTCTCTCTCGCTGTGTCCTTTGCTCCCACCAGTCGTCGAGATGTGTGTTTGCTTTAGATGCCGTTTGTCGATAGGTGTTGGGCTGTGAGGGAAACGTGCCATTGTGCCGCTTGAAGGATACTTGGTGAGGAGGCAGCGTGGGCAGAGCTGATCCAAGGTCGCACTGGCAGACCTGTCCTGCCAATTAGAGCTTGGCGTGTCCCGCCAAGGGCCCGCCATTGGGTCCATAGCGGGACGGCCGCCAAGAAGCATGCCAAAGACGTCTTGGCCGATGCGGCCAACTGCCACGAGTTTAATGCTTTTAAAGCCGCTACCGGTACGACGACCGGACAAAGGGGCTCGCTTCCACCTCGACCTCAGGACGCCACAACGATCCCCAGCTTGCCCGCAAAGCCACCGCAGGAACCACGTCCGACGATCGAGAAGCCCAGGGCCGCGCAAACGAGAGGCAAAAGGGTCTTCTTGCATGACGACGACATCGAGAGGGTCTTCTAGAATACATGCTCGACGCGAACTCACACACCGAGCGAGCGAGAAAGAGAGACGAGGGAGGCAACGACCAAAGAAGTGGTTCACGACGACGTCTGTAGGAGCTCGACGCTGGCTCGCCGTCGTGAAACGGTGGCGGACGAGTGCAGTGCAGTGCGGTGCGGGGCGTTGCGGTGCGTTGCGGTGCGTTGCGGTGCGTTGCGGTGCGGTGCGGACCTGTGTTGGGCAGTATCGTTCAGGCGAGTCTGGTCTACGTTTCCGGCTGCAGCAAGGTCGTCGATGATGGAGGGGGAGACGCAGGTCGTGCGCGAGAGAAGAAACGTGAGACGAGCGATATGATGCCGGTCCTGGTGAAGCACAGAGTGTCCGCGAAGATGGAGGAAAAGAGGCGAGCGCAACCCAGGGCTGGGTGCGCGCGCCTCTTGCAGACTGGCCAGTCGTCCGTATGTCGTGGTGGTGGTGTTTGCCATTTCACCGCCCAAATGGATTCGTGCCGTCGGCGTGTTTTGGCAGCAGCGGCGACGTTATGGGCTCGTCTTCGTCGGCGTCGCGATCGCCGTGGTGGTGGAACAGCTCGATGCGATCCGTACTGCTGGTGACGATCGACCGACTGCCGCCCCCGAGGCTGCTGGCACCGATGCTGCTACTGCCGCCGCCGCCGTGGCCGTGGCCGTGGCCGTGTTGGAGGTCGGCGCCGCCGCCAGGTTGTGCTGGTCGCACTGACCCAATTGACCCTGGCCCAAAGATGCTATTCCGCCCGCCCCAGCCGTCGCCGTCGTCGCCGTGATCGGGCACCTCGGTCGCCGGCGTCAGTGGTATCGTCTGCAGCCGCAGTGACGGTACCCGTTCTCGCAATTCGAACGACTGGCCCACCGCGGACCCTGCTCCTGCCGCGGCGACCAGGGAGCCCGCGTAGCCGGGCGGGATCACTCTGGAGTGATTCTGACTCTCGCCGTACGACGGCAGATCGCCGTCGAGGTCGTCTTCGTCTGTCCTCCGCCACGTGCGGAAGTTTCGTCGCCTGCCCGAGCGCGTCCGCGAGCCGGCGGTCGAAGGCGCTGCGGGCGGTGGCGGCGGTGCCGCCATTTGCAGGCCAGGGACCAGCTTGGCCATGTAGCCGCCGCCTGCCGGGGTGTAGTCGGGCGGTACCAGGCGCCGCGCCTCGTCTTGCGGATCGCCGTTGGCATCTGGGTTCTTTTCCGCCATCCGTCGTTCCCTGCGCCGGCGCAGCATCACCAGGACCACCAAGCCCACTAGCAGCCCGACGAAGCCGATCAGCACGCCGACAATGACGGGTACCTCGATGCTGCGCTGATGCCGCCGTGGCAGGTCCTGCGGCGTGTGCTTGAAGCGCATCGGCAGACACGCGCTGTTGTTGGTGGGCGAGGCTCCGACCACGGCCGTGGCAAAGTGCTGCGCAATGTCGAAAGGCGAGGAGCCGAAAAAGTCGGTGACGATGAAGATGGCCGTCTCGTTCTCGGGCAGCTCGACTATGTCCCTGTATGTGAGTGCAGTCGGAGGACGCAAGACGTACGTGGTTTGAGCGAACGGCGCGCTGACCGGGGCAGGACCGATCGCAATGACCTCGAACCCAGTGGGATGGCACTCACCACGTCCACGAGACCGTCCCCATGACCGGAACGAACGCTCTCATGACATTTGACATGCGAGAGGCTGTCGACGGGAAGAGGAGGCTGTAGGGGTAAGCAGGTCTGGTCGCAGTCGAGTAACCCTGCCAGGCAATCATAAGAGGCTCACCGTCTTTTGCACCGATTGTGACGTTGCCCTTGGCCTCGATCTGGAAGGTGGCCGGCTCGCATTGCGCCAGGGCCGGAATGGTGAGGTTGACGGCACCCACGCAGCCGAAGGTGGCTGCCAGGAGCGCAGCGAGAGAGAGCCTCGTTGGCAGCATCGTGAAGTAGTGGCAGGGCGGATACGCGGGCTTTGTAGCGGCACAGCAAAGACAAAGCTCAGGCGCACGTCTCCGTCCGGCGGGTCGGGCCAACAAGGATGCCGATCGTGCGGATCGGCTGCGTGACCAAAGAAGGCGTTGCCGCGGTCGAAACTGAAAGGTTCGACCAGACGATGCCAAAAGATGGCGCCGAGTCAGCGCGGGAGATGTCGGATCGGTGATGCTCTCGAGGAAGTGGTCACGGTCCTTGTCGGAGGCACCGAAGGAGCATGCTGGGTCGCCTCGAAGGCGAGTGGATGAAGTAACGTTTCGTAGCGGTCGGAAGATCAAGCGAGGTGGCAGGATCGACGTCGGTGTCGAGGTCGATGCTCGTGAAGTCGGTATCGACGAGTCGTCGGGCACGTCGAGATGCGAGAAGAGCCGAAGGTCCGTTACGGGAGCAAAGGATGCCGGGTGAGCGAGGCCGAGGATGATGGAGAAGATAGGTAGGACCGGGTCGGACGGCGACGAAGAGATCTCGACGTGAAGGTAAGGAGTAGAAGGTCGTAAGGTGGCCTTTCTCGCCGCAGCCAAGATGCTGTGTGGAATCGAGCGGAGGCCGTATGAAGAAGTGTGCGAGAACAGTCGGGTCGAGGTTGCCGCTGCCGGGCTACGGGCGGATCGCGGATGAAGCTGGGTTGGTCCGCTTGCTCGTCGTGATGCAGAAGACGCAACAGGCTACCACGATAGAAGCGGCGTCCACAGGTGTCGAGGAACGGGATGGTAGAGCAGCGATGGCAGGGAAGCGGCCGGAGGAGCGCCTAGCGACCGGGGGCGATGGCAGTCGGGCAAACGTGATGATGGTGGTCGCGGCACCGACGCTGGCCAAATCGTACGTACTGTGCCAGTACGAAAATGTATGTAAGTGCTCTCTGCTCTGTCGCAGTCGAATACCGAGAGCGGCGCAGCAGGGAGGCGGGCGGGCGCCCCACTGCTTGACGAGGGGGTCGAAGTCGAGATTACTGTCTTGACCTCGAGCCGTCGGCGGTGCTCCGACAACGCTGGGACGAAGCCTCAGCTGGCGGAACGAGGCGAAAAACGCGGTGCCAAAGGCGTGCGGGGCACTGTCGAGCAGCGTAGGAGAGGGATACAGGCGGCGGTGGCGACGAGCACAGCGGCAGGCAGAGGAAGGACGATGGAGGTGGTCTGTCTGCGACGATGACGGCGACGGCGACGAGGGGAGGGGCGGAGAGGGCCTCGCCAGTCTGGTGGGCCGACGTAGCGAGGAGGGGGTGGGGCACAGGCGCGGGCGTCGTGGTCCGGGGCCTGCCCAAGGGTTCCCCCTTCGGTGCCAAAGGTGGAGCTCGCCCGGCCAGGCCAGGCCAGGCAGCGGGCGCAAGGCAAGGTGGCGGTGCCGGCCGGACCTCGGCCTGCCTGCCGCCTGTCGCCCGCCTTCTAGAGGCTCCTGGGGCACCAGGCCTGTCTGCCAGCTCTATCTGTTTTCGCTTTCCGCGCGTGGTGCGCCAAGCGGGCCGCGGGAAGGGGGCCAGCAGAAAAATCGAACCGGCCTGTCTCGGAACTGCCGCCTGCCTGCCCCTTCGCCCGGCCAGCGCAGCGGAGGCTGCCTCGATACGATGCATGTATGTCGGGCGATGGTCATGATGCTTCGGCGGCGCGAACCGACGTCCGGCAGGCCGATTGGAGCGGTCTGGGGCAGAACGGGCGGCCGCCGCACGTACGCCTGACGGACGGATCGACGTCTGCGCGAACAAGCAAGCAGCAGAAGCATACGCATGCTGGCCGGCACGCAGGCAGCGGAGGTCAAGGCCAGGCAGGCACGCACGGGTTGACCGAGCGGATGGTCCGACGAGCAGGCAGGCGCCCATCAGCCCAGCTGCCCAACTACGGTATCTGTTGTGTGTATGTGTGTTTCGGGGTCGTGAGCGGTAACTTGTCCCCAAGCACAGTCGCAAGCAGTCGCCACCGGCCAACATCAGCGAGTGTGCATCACATGCATCTTGCTCCCCCGGTACCGTATTCGACGCCGAGACAGCGCCGTTGCGTCGCTAGAAGGGGCTCCTCCTTCCGACTCTTGACTGCTCGTCTGACCGGAACGAGGAGGTGGCATGCAGACGCTGGCCAGCCATCCGCGTGTACCGTACAGTACGCGTATGACCTCGACGGCCGTTCCATGAGACGAACCACGCACCACCTATCGGACGGGCGGCGCATACCATACCGTGCTCAACTTCTTGGCGGGCGTCGGTTGCCTCCGTCCAAACAAAAGAGGGCAGGCAGGCAAGGAAATCGAAGCGGTCGGTGGCAGGCCGAAGAAGGCAGGTCCGCCCGCGACGGGCATGGATGGCCTGGCTGCGCATGAAATCGAGGAAAAGAAGCAGCGGCAGGCCGGCCTAAAGCCCTAGCTAGGCTGCGATCAATTCCACGCCAAGGCCGGGGCGGGGGCGGCTGCAGCTAGAGCCGCAACCATCCCGTTTCGATGGACGAAAGGGAGGCAGGCCGCCAAGGCGCCGCAGACCAGGCAGGGACATCGGGGGCGGCGCACGTAACTACTGAAGCGGCTCAGCATTCAGACTCTGGCGCTACGCCTGCCGCCAGGCAATCGGCGGTGCGTTCGGCGTCGGCCCGCCAAGCCGCCAGGCCCATCGACGGGAGTTGGCAACGGCGACGAGCGCCAGCAGTCGGACAGTAGTCATCGGGGCCCACCGACCCGATGTCGATCTGGGCAGACCGACAGTGGCCGATCGCGCTTCGGACGAGCTCAGTCGAGTCTCGTCGTCCATGCTGGCGTCGTCGACGTTCCGTGCGTATGCCTCGGTAGACGGCTCAGGGTCGTGCTTTCCGTTGTCGAGATAGCAGATCCCCACCCGCTCGTATCAGCCAGTTCTGCATGGGGTGAGGCTGGCGAGCGCCTTCCGTGGCGCCATCGAGCATCGCTATTCGCGGAGACCAGACACCCCCGTCGGCACTCGCCCTCAGATAGGTGCACTGTCAGTCAGCCCTCCGCACAGCTCTTTAGAAAGGTGCGATGCATTGCCGCAAGGGGATGATATATAGAGTGTGAAAGAGGTTGACCGGGCCATCGATTGAACTCGTCTCGGCTGACCCGACGCAGATGCCGCCGATCCTATGAGAAGTCGGAGATGCGTCCGGTCTGAAGTGGTTGGAAGCAGACGAGATGGTAAGGCAGAGGTTCGACGTGGTCAGCCGAGGAGTGACAGTGGAGCAGTCGAGCAGGGAGCAGAAGCCACTCACCATAATGAGGCCGACTAGTGGTGCGCCGGAAGGGCAGAGAGCGTGCGGGATCAATAGGTAAGCCAGGCGACCTTCAGACTCCAGCGGCGCAATGACAGCCTGGCAACGTCGATCCTTGCGAGAGACTCACCGATCATGCCAAATAGACCGAGGATCGACGAAAAGACCGAGATGATGAGCACCTTGATGAACAGCTGGTCGTCGGCGGCATCGGCAATGGCGGCGTTGGAGCCAGAGATGCCGACCGCGACGCCACAGAAGAGGTTGCACGCTCCGACAACGATGCCCGCCCAGAAGAGCAGGTGACCTAGCGCGAAGCAGCGGGGACAAGTTCGAAATGATCAGCACGGTACGTCTCAAGACGAGTGGGCGAGCGGAAAGGCTGGCCCGGCTTGACGCACCAGTGAGGTAGTTGTCCGGCGTCCAGAGCCCATCGGACCCGCCGTCAAGGTTGCCCGTGATCTTGGCCGAGAAGACGATGGCCATGATGACGCCGTAGATGGCGACGACCTCGCAGAAGATGATGCTGGTGGGGGTAGGGGGTTGGTAGGGAAAGCGAGAGAGCCAAGGCTGAGCATCTGGCCGTCGGCGAGGCGGAGAAGCAAGAAGGGCGTCGTCTCACCTGACCAGGTTCTTTGTCGTGATCCTCGGCGCCCGCACACCAGCGCCAAGAATGGACGAGCCGGTGATGAAGATACCCCTGTGGTCGTCGAAAGTCGGCGTGACAGTTGGAGAATGGCAGGTCAGTGGGGGGGCTCGCTGGGTAGTGGGCGTGCGCTTATGCTCCATTCGCAGGGGCGGGAACGAGCAGCGACCGAGGGGATTGCTCCGCGCATGCGCACTCACCATCCAGCGCCAATGACACTAAGGCCGATGCAGAGTGCGATGCCAGTCATTGCCCATGCATAGGGGCTGGTCTCTTCGAGGAAGAGGCCAATGTTGAAGGACTCGCCGCTCCCTGACAGTTTCAGAGTGGCAAGCCGCAACGAGAAGGAGGGCGGAATCAGCATCACATCAGGTCAAGGATGGCTGCCAGTGGCGACGCAGTGTAGGCGCGAGGCGCGCACTCACCGGTAAGGAGCATGTAGAGGCCGACCGCCGAAGCGGTCGAGAGGCCGACGACCGAGGTGTACGCTAGCGCTCCGACCATGTTTGTGCTGGGCCCGTGAGTCGCTCCTCGAGTCCAGAAGACGGGCTTGGTAAAGATCAGAGCTATCGGTTGGTGCTCCAGGTGAAGCGTGAAGGGAGAGCGGTTCGGAGAGTAAAGGGGGACGTCGGGATCGATTGGATGGAGGGCAGCGAGGTGTGCGAGAGAGGGTCTCGAGATGATGCATGTGTGGAGACGACGTTCGTGGCCACGGCCAGGCCGAGGATGTGTTGGCTCGTGAGCGACTGGCCCTCGCCTGGCAGGCCAGGGCCCCGCCTGCAAGCCTGCAGCCACAGCTCCATCAGCCGGCAAAAAGGGGCGGGCGGCGCCCAGGCCACGCCAGGTCGATCACGCTCTCCCGCACGATAGACACGCGCCACCACCTCGCCGCCGCCTTCGCAAGCAGATCCACACGATGGCCTCCCTTCACCTCGTCAAAGAGGCAGTATGCAAAGCACTGGCTGCACGAGAGACCGGGCAGCTCGACGTGGTAGATTTGTACATTGCAGACGACTCAGATTGTCCGGAAGGCATGCCAGGCGAAGGTGGCTTGACCGCACACGGAGGAGCTCTAGCCCTGCTGCTCCTCTCCACCCTCGGCGTACGAGCTCGACTTGTGCTTGGGCACAAAGCTCCACTCTTCGGGCGCCTTGCCAAGGAACATCTCAGAGACGCGCACCCAGTCCTCGGAGTTGCCGCTCGCCAGCAGCGTCTCGAGCTCGTCGCGGCCCTTGAACGGCGGCGGGCGGTCGTTCATCCGCGCCGGCAGGTGCTCGAGGATGCCCGTCGGCACGTAGCGGTGCGTGAACGACAGCATCTCGCACAGGAAGCGCCGCGTCGTGTTGACCCCCTGCGTGTCGGAGCCCCAGTGCGTGAGGCCGTACGAGGCGTACTTTTAGCGGCGACGGCCGAAGGGGAGGTGGGCGTGACAAGATGCAGGAAACGAGGAGAGGCGAGGTCAGCCGGAGGTCCTGTTGCAGCCATCCATCTACTCCGCATAGCCGCGCTTCCCGGCGAATCAACGGCACTCACCTCGCGGATCATGTCGAGCCTTTCGCGGCTCGAGATGTCCCAGTCGCGTCGCTCCTTGATCTCGGTAAACAGCCAAGGCTTGATGAGCGCGCCTCGGGCGATCATCTCGCCGTCGACGCCGGTCATCTCGAGCCTCTCGTAGTAGTCCTGCCAGCTGTAGACGTCGCCGTTGCCGTAGATGGGGATCGGCACCATCTCCTCGCCGTCGGCGCCCTGCTGCTCCTCGTTCCACGTGCGCACGCTCTCTCGCAGCGTGTCGGCGCACGTCTTGATGTAGCCCCAGTCGGCGACATTCTTGTACCGCTGCTTCCTCGACCGGCCGTGGAGCGTGGCCGCGCTGCAGCCCCACTCGGTCTGCAGCCGCGCAAACAGCTTGTGCGTCGTCTGCTTGGACGTCGTGCCCGTGCGCAGCTTGATGGTGAGCGGCGTCTCGCCCAGCACCGCGTTCATGCCTCGCACAATCTTGGACAGCATCGTTGCTTTGTCGAGCAGGGCAGAGCCGGCGCCCTTGTTGTAGACCAGGTCGATCGGGCAGCCGCAGTTGATGTCGACAAAGTCGAGGCCGTCGCCCACCTCGCGCTTGAGCGCCTCGGCCACGGGGATCAGCAGGTTGGGCTTGCCGCCGCAGAGCTGCGTGCCAAAGATCCTCTCGCCCTCCCAACGTCGCACCAGGCTCCACTCGGACGCCTGACCGTGGAGGAAGCTCTCGGCCAGCCCCATCTCGCCGCAGTGGATGTCGCTACCGTAGCCGGAGCAAATCCGGCGGAAGGGAAGGTTGCCTGTGGTCGTGAGCGGCGCCAGGTAGAGCTCGCCGCGCCAGTTGAGGCGTCGCTTCTCCGAAGGTCGGATCCGCGCCAGGTCAATGTCGCCCTGGACCGCCGAAGCGGCCGCCTCTGCTGCCCTCGCCTGGGTGCCGGCGGCATTGGAGGCCGACGCCTGGTTGCGCAGTGCGTTCTCCATCTCCTCGAGATCAGCCTCTTCGTCCTGGGTTGCCAGCGACGCTCCAGCGGGCTTACCCGCTGTGGAGGAAGCCGGCCCGCGGGCACTGGCCTCGGCTTCGAGCTTGGCAAAGTCGATGCGGATGGGGCCCTTGCCCGCCTGGGAGCCGGATGGGTCGAGCCTGCTAAGCTCGCGCGACTCCTTTTCGAGGTACTCAAGCACCGCCTTGGTCTTTGGCAGAGGGTACTTGCGCGTCTTCATCGCCTTCATGGCGGCCGAAGTGCCGTAGTTGAACTCATCGCGATCGAGGTCCTCGGGCTGGACCGCGCCATCGCTCTTGGGCGTAAACACCCGAGACCGGCTGCGCCAGGCCCGCACCCTCTCCTCGTCGCGGACCAGCTCCAGACCCGTGCCAGCGAAGCCAGTACCACTGGGCTCGGCCGCGCCCTCGGCGGAGCTCTGCTGCTGCTCGAGGGCGAGCTTCGAGGGGCCGACGATGCGGACGTGGGCTCCGAGGAAGCGGCACTTCCAGCCGAAGTCGCAGAAGCCCTGCACGGAGAATTTGGGGCAGCTGGTCCCCAGGTCGAGAGATCGGTGGACAGGGTCGATCGACTTGCCGTCGGCCTGAGGCTGGGATGTAGCAACGTGGGCAGGCTCCTTAACGTAGGTCCACTCGTCTCCCTTGGCGATCTTGCTGGTGCTGTACTGCGACTCGAACCAGGCCTCTTTCTCCTGCGGCTCGAGCGCGGCTACTGGGCCGTAAGGCTTTGGCGGCAAGGGCCGGTGGATGTCGGTGGCCTTGTCGGCGAGGTAGGCGACGAGGTCGTGGGAGAACTTGCACTGGCCCTGGAACTTGCATTCCCCGAGCGAGAGAAAGGCGCCGCACATGCCGTGGGTGTCTTTTGTCTTGACGAAGGAGCGGTTCTTGTTCTGCCCGCCCTGCTTCTGCTTTTTGTTGCCGCGGGCTTCGGCGGCGGCTGCAGCGGCCTCCTCCTTGCGGGCGCGCTTGCGGGCGGCGCCCTTGAGCTTGACCGGCGGGGCAGAGGCGGGCTGCGCATCGGTAGACTGTGGCGCGCCGTCGATGGCATCGGCGAGTTCGGGGGCCGGGCGGACGGTGTTCTGGGCGTCGAGCGAAGGGCCGGTGCGAGACTCTGCGGCGTCGTCGTCGGGCACGGGGAGCGCCTGAGGCTCGCGGGCGTTGCCATTGCCGTTGCCGTTGTCGTTGTTGCTGCGACGGCCGATGTGCGGGAGGATATACTCCTTCTTGATGGGTGCGATGCCGGGTGTGTAGGTGTCCGAGGCTGGGTAGACGGGGAACTTCCAGGTGGCTTCGGACTCGGGCTGAGCTGCCGTGCCAGGGGTGGTGTTGCTGGCGTCAGCGTTGGCAGCGGCAGCGGCAGTCTGAGGCTGTGGCTGGAGCGTCGGCTCGACCTCGGTCGTCATGGCGGGCTGAGTTGCGGTGGATTCTCGATGTCAGGTGCAAACAGGGATGATGTGGATTTGGGGACCAGGGTGGCGAGAGTGGCCAGGAAGGAAGGCTGACCTGGCCAGGCGTCGCCCGACCTGCCCGCCTCTCCCTCTGAGAGGTGGCAAAGCGGGAAAAAATGGGGTCAGGCTGCCGAGGCGCGGAAGTCGGAAGAAGGCGGCCTGGCCACTCTGCTGCACCCGACGCAGGATGGCTTCCCACTCCACGACCACGACCACCACCACCACCACCACCGCCGCCGCTTCATCCTCCATCCACCTCAACCCCTGGAACCTCAAGCGACCGTTCAGCTGCCTCGCATAGTCCAACAGCGACACGGCACTCACACTGAGAGAGTCCTCGCCCGTCACTCCTCTTTGCCCGGCATGGCGCCCGTAGCGACCCACGACATCCAGCCGTCCACCTCGTCGTCGTCCGACGGCGCACCCCTGCCGCCGCTCGAGGACCTGGTCGCACGATCTGCAAAGCGCACTCGTCTCCTCTTCTCCTCCGACTCGGATGTCGGCTCATCCTCCCTCGCAGCATCCGCCACCGACCCTTCCGCCACCGACACAGCAAAGGCGCACCTCCGCTACAAGATCAGCTCCGAGTACAACGATGCAAAGTTCCTTCCCGCAGCACTGCTGGCACAGCAGTCAGCCGCAGGGCCCGCCAAGCCAGGAGCAGCCCCAGCTCCATCAGCAGCAGCGGCAGCAGCGTCGGTAGGCAAGCAGAGGAAGAGGGCGAACGAGTCCTTGCTCGGAAGCCTGATCGACGAGATTGATGGGACCGCCGCACCAGGGCCAGCAGGGTCCGCGGGACCGTCATCTGCGCGGCCAGACCCTACGACGACTCAGGCTCTGACCATCCGAGCGGCGCAGCAGGCCAACGGCGGATACGGTGCCGCGGCGACGGGAGGGATGCGCGGCGGGGGCAGCTCCGGGCTGCTCTCCCAGGCGCTGGTGCTCAAAAAGGAGCAGCAGTCGAGGCAGGCCAAGCCGGCCCACCACCCAAACTGGAAGCTCTCGCGCGTCATCAGCGGCCACCTGGGCTGGGTGCGCTCCGTGGCCGTCGAGCCGGGCAACAAGTGGTTCGCCACGGGCGCCGGCGACCGCATGATCAAGATCTGGGACCTGGCCTCGGGCGAGCTCAAGCTCTCCCTCACCGGCCACATTTCGACGGTCCGAGGCCTGGCCATCAGCTCGCGCCACCCTTACCTCTTCTCGTGCGGAGAGGACCGTCAGGTAAAGTGCTGGGACCTCGAGCAGAACAAGGTGATCCGCTCCTACTCGGGCCACCTCACGGGCGTCTACTCGATCGCCCTCCACCCCACCCTCGACGTCCTCGTCACTGGCGCCCGCGACTCGAGCGCGCGCGTGTGGGACATGCGCACAAAGGCCCAGATCCACACCCTGGTCGGCCACAAGTCGACGGTGGCCTCGGTCGTCTGCCAGGACTCGGAGCCGCAGGTCATCACCGGCTCCATGGACGCCACCGTCCGCCTGTGGGACCTTGCGGCGGGAAAGAGCATCGCCACCCTGACGCACCACAAGAAGAGCGTGCGCGCCCTCGCCGTGCACCCGACCGAGTACACGTTTGCCTCGGGCAGCGCCGGCGGGCGCAACATCAAGACGTGGCGGTGCCCCGAGGCCACGCTGGTCAACAACATGACCCACGACGCCATCGTCAACACGCTCAGCGTCAACTCGGACGGCGTCCTGTTCAGCGGCGGAGACGACGGCAGCCTCAAGTTCTTTGACTACGCCACGGGCGTCCCCTTCCAGGCTGCCGAGGACATCCCGCAGCCCGGATCGCTCGACGCCGAGGCCGGCGTGTTTTGCTCGTCGTTTGACCAGACGGGCACCCGCCTCATCACCGGCGGCGCCGACAAGACCATCAAGATTTACAAGGAGGTCTGAGGGCGTCCCTCGCGTCGATGTGTCGCTCGCTGCCGCGGTGCCCGGATGGCGGCTTGTCATCGATAGCAGATAGTGTTGCAAATCCAAAGCGCGCTCATCGCTCTGCCGGTGGCAGCCTGTTGTACAGTCCCTCGTATGCATCGTGGTCGCCCTGCGGTCGGTCCGCGTCGTCGTCGGCTCTGCTGGTGTGTGTGTGGGGGCCGTCGCGCCTGTGTCGCAGCCAGTCGAGGGTGGCAGCGGCGACGTCGAGCGCAGCCTGGGGCATCTCTGCCAGCTTGGCCACCTTGAGGCCGTGCGATTCTCGGTTGACGCCCGGTCGGATGAGGTGCGAGTAGGTGATCGAGCCGTCCTGTCGTTCTCGAAGCGGAGCGGAGAGGGCGAGGTGGGGAGGGCATGCGATAAACGAATGAGTAAGGAGGGGAAACATCTCTAGCTCAGGGATCATTGGAATCGCCGCCGACGCTGGCGGGGAAGAAGGCACTCACCTCTGACTCAGTCACGTCGGTGCAGAAGAAATCGACGGCGGCAAATCGTCGTCGCCCCTCGTCGCGTCGTACTGCCCCGTCGTCGTCGCCTTCGCCGTCGTGGAATCCGAGCATATCGGCCACCTCGTGGAAATGCGTTGCAAACAGGGTGCGACAGCGGTTGACGGCGTAGAGGTGGTGGAGGGTGGCGAACGCAACGGCTAGGCCCACCTCGGTCGTGGTGCCGCGTCCAATCTCGTCGGCGATGACGAGGCTCCGCTCCGTGGCGCGACGCAGGATCTCGGAAGTCTCCATCATCTCGACCATGAAGGTGCTGCGATCGCGGAAAAGGTCGTCCTTGGCGCCCACCCGGCTAAAGACGCGGTCCACGATGCCGATCCGCGCCGAGTGGGCGGGTACAAACGAGCCCGCCTGCGCCAGGATGGCAATCATCGCGTTCTGACGCAGAAAGGTGCTCTTGCCGCCCATGTTGGGGCCCGTGATGAGGTGGAGGAACGACGAGCGCGAGAGGCGCAGATCGTTAGCGGCAAACAGGCGGTGCTGCTCGAGCAGGCCCATCTCGACGCTCAGGTGGCGCCCGCCGCGCACGTCAAAGTCGAGGCTGTCGTCGACCTGTGGACGCACCAGCCCGAGCTCCTGTGCCGCCTGGCCGTAGCCCACCAGCACGTCGAGCTGGTCGAGGAGCTTGGCGTTCCACCGCAGCGCGGCCAGCTCGATGAGCACGTCCTGCCGCAGCTGCTCGAGCTCGAGCGCCTCCTTGTCCTTCATTTCCTTGATCAGCTTGTGCACCTTGCCGCCCAGCAGCGTCCACCGCTCCGAGTAGTAGGTGTGCGTCGATCGCAGCTTGCCCGCCACGTGCAGCTCGCGCTCCGGGTCGCGCGCCGCCTTGCCGCGGGCGTGGACGACAAAGCCCTGGCCCAGCACAAAGCGCAGCGAAATATGCTCGCCGTGCTTGGCCTTGAACTCGGCCTCGAGCTTGCGGGCGTCGCGCCGCAGCTTTTCCAGCGTCTTGGTCATCAGCGTGAGCGTCTTGGACGTGCTGTGAAACAAGGTGGGGAGGGGAAGAAACAGGACGTGACGAGCAGCACAGCGCGCGCGCGCGCAAGGAAAAGAACAGGTGAGCAAGCAAGGTCTCGAGAGGGGACAGGTGCGCGCCTCGGCCCGCCAGAGGAACATCGGGTACCCACGATGGTCGGATCAGGTGCTCGAAGTCTTCGCCCCACAGCATGGTCGCGTCCGGTTCGGCTTCGTCGATGTCGCTGGCCTTAGTTCGCCTCCGGGCCTTTGCCGTGGTCGCAGCCGCCACTTCGGTCGGCGCAGCGCCCTTTCCGCCCTCACCGGCCGAGTCGATTTCGTCGCCGTACGCGCCATCGGTCCCGGCAACCGTACTCTCGATGGACTGAGCAATGGCTTCCTGCCGCCGTAGCCTGTGCTCAATCACGCGCTCGTCGATGGCGCCGCCGAGACGCTCGCCCAGCGGCGTCAGGACCTTGAATTTGTCCCCGAGCGCCACTAGCGGCGCCAGCTCGGCCTTGACGTCGGCGTCGGCCTCGTACTGCGCTTCCTGCTGGAGCTTCGAGACGATCTGATCGCAGGCCTGGATAAAGTCTCGCACCTCGAGCAGGTCCTGCTCGTTGTTGCGGCGAGTGATGAGGCGCTGCAGTACGCGAGAGATGTCGCCGGCCCCTAGCCGCAGCACGGACCGGAGGTCGTCCCGCAGGAAAGGCCGCCGCAAGAAGAGCTCGACCAGCGCCAGCCTGGCTTCGATGACGCTCAGCGAGGTGCTCGGAGTGGCTGCGATGGGCCGAGCGGTGAGATTGCTACAACTGTCAGGACATCGACTTGGGCACAGCGACTCGGGCGAGGATGCAGGAGCCGAAGCCGGCTCGGTGCGACGGAGCAACAGCGGGCATCTACTCACCTAGCCACTGCTGCAGCAGACGGGTGCCGCCCTTGGTCACAGTCCGCCGCATGACGCTAAACAGGCTGCCCTTGACGCCTCCCTCCCGCGCCACTTCCTTGACCTCGAGCGCCGAAAGCGTGTGGGCATCAATCTGCATGTGATCGTCCTGCTGAAGTCGCATCGGCCGCGCAGTGGTGAGTGCGTCGATCTCGGCGTCGTGGTCGAGCAGGCGGGAGCGGAGGTAGGCCACCAGATTCCGCACCGCGCCGCTCTCGGCCTCGGCCTCCCACGCCGACGCCGCGACTATCGGATCCTCGTCCGTTTCGACGTCGAGGCGCGAGACGGTGCTGTCGACGACGGTGATGGCCTCCTCGAGCGGCCCATCCCGGCTGACTGAGCCAGCGCCTTGGTCGCCACCGTACGAGGCTCTGCCGCCTCCGCCATCTGTTGCAGGATCCTCCCCAGCCGAGGCCGAAGTCGAATGGGTGCCAAAGAGGCGAGGCTCGAGCACGATCTCCCGGGGCGATACTCGGGCGATCTCGTCGCGCAGCGAAGCAAGGTCGGCGCAGGTCGTCGTGCTAAAGTCGGCGGTGCCCACGTCGAGCCACGCCAGACCGTAGCCGAAAGATGGCGGTGGCGTTGGTGTTGCTGCCGTCGTCGAGTACGCCGGCGCCCGGGTCGGATCAGCCCGTACACCGGCCTCGATGGCTCCATCGATCCCCCGCAGGGCCACGCGCGATATAGCGAGGACGAAGTTGTTGCGGAACGGGTCGACGAACTTTTCGTCCATCAGGGTGCCGGCGGAGACGACGCGCTGCACTCGACGCTGGATGTCGGCCTTTTCGTTGTGCAGCGTTGGGGATCGGTACTCTTCGCTGATGGCGACGAGGAGGCCCTTGTCGATGACGAGCGTCTTGAGGTACTTTTCGAGCTGGTGTGCGGGGAAGCCGGCCATGCCTACGTCCTGGCCAGCCCAGCGGCGGTTTGCGAGCTTGATGCCGAGGATCGAGGCGAGCTGGGGCGCCTGGTGGAAGTAGGACTCGTAGAAGCCGCCGACGCGGGTGAGGAGCACGCAGTCGGAGAACTTGGCCATGTCGTCGAGCACCGACTGGGCCAGGGGTGGCCATCCCGGCTTGTCATCCTTGCCGGACGACGCCGGCGCGGCCCTCGAGGTCCTGGTTGCCGCCTTTCGAGTCGCCCTGGGCTTGCGGGTGGAGGATGTGGCGGGCCGTCTTGGAATCAAGGGAGCCAGTGGTGGCGGTCTTGCTAGCAGCAAAGGCAGCAGGCGAGATCTGGCCAGGACCAAGGGGCGTAGCAGCGGCGGCGCCCTGGTCAGGGCCAGCATCGCTTGCACGCCACCTTGGTCGCTGGGACGGCGAGGGCCGAGTAAGCTGGCTTTGATGGCAAAGCGGCGACCGTTGGGCTATCGTGTGCGATGCGAATGCTAGCGCGAACTGTTGCTTGTGTGCGCGAAGCCAGGTGGTGACGGTGTTTGTCGTCGTCGCTGTGGAGCTGGTGGTAGTGGTGGCGGTGATGGTCGGCGTCGTCTGGCCAAGCAAGGGCAGGCTAGCCACGAGGTTGGTGGTCGGTGCGCGCAATGAGAAGAAAGCCGGGGTCCAGAGTGATGCAGTCCGACTTCCGCGTCCTGGGCCGCAAGTCCAGCAGGTGCGCCTATGAGAGGCAGGGAGCTGCAGCCCAGCCCAAGTCTGACGCAAGACGGCCCTGCACGCTATCATTGATGCACATTGAAGGCAGCTTTTGACAGTGTCACAGACAAATCGAGTGTATCCATCACAACCAAGCTGGAGGGCTGCAGAAGTGCTAGCAACAGTGTATCCTCTTGATGCCTCACAAACATGATCCTGCCAGTCTATCCATGTCCAGGTAAGATACAAGTTGACTCAGGTGAAGATCCAGTCAGGCATACAGGCAAGGTACAGGGTGTTGCTGTTGGAGAACGTGAAGGATCCATGGTGGCCTTACCTCAAGTACCTCCTCATGAGGGACAAGGCGGTGGCTGGGGCCGAACCAGGCCTAGCGAAGGCAGTCGAGTTTTGGAGCTTGATGAGAACGGGTTTGGGCGCTCGAGCATTCGGAGCATTGATGCATGTCCTGCTGAATGTCGAGGGACTTCAGCTCAACAATGCTGGCAAATGTGAGTCCCATTGCAGCTGAGAGTGTGCTGAAACATCGCCCTTGGAACACTGATCAACACTTCTGCTTGGCCCAACAGCAACCCTGAACTGTCCACCTCTCCCTCGATCTGAGGACATCGCGATGGTCAGCTGTCCATGTACATGCTGCAAGAGTAAGCAAGTCATTGCCAAGATAGCAGCCTGTAAGGTAGCTTAGATTGCAATACAGATGAACCAACAGACAGGGAAGACAAGCAAGTCTGAGTGTGGATGGCAAATTGTTGGTGCTGCGTTGCAGCACTGCAGCATTGCTGCGGTCCAGGATGCTGGCAACTGCAGGCAATTTACGCCGTGCAACAGGTTGGGTTGTTCAATTCATGCCGTTGGCCTTGTTCCCTCGAATAGGCAATGAGACTGCGCTACCTGCACAGGCACCGTGGCAATGCGGCTGCCTCTGCCTGAAAAGAGGAAAGCGGTGGGCGCGTCGGGCAAGGTCGGGCGCCAGCGCCACTTGCTCGTTGCTCGCACCTCGCCCTGCACCCCCCTACTGTTTTCTCCTTTCTCGTTTGCTCGACGAACAGCCTGGACTGTGGCATTCTTCTGGAAGGGGCCTCGACATAATGTATATTTGAATCAGTGGAGAAAAGCCGCTGGAGATCGACGCGCTCACCACGCCGTGTTGTCCCAGTCGATTGCCTCCTCGGTCCACTCCTGCCTCGGCATCTTCGTCCCGAAAAGTGCATCCCAGAGCCTCGTCTGCTTTCCGTAGTTGCCGCTCTTTTTCGAGCCTCGGCGGTGGTAAGCGTTCCGAATCAATCTCTATATTACAACGGGGCGCAGCGGAATCAGTACGCCTGGTACGACCAGTCGATATTGTCCTCACGACACTCGTCGCGCGGCAGCTTCGTCCCGAACAGCGTATCCCAAAGCCTGGTCTGCTTTCCATAGTTTCCGCTCCTTTTCCAACCATGCCTGTGGTGGTTGTCATGACTTCGGAAACGACGAGAACATGGCCAATGAGGCAGGAATGTCAGCGGGTGAAGTTGCAGAAAGAAAGAAAAAAAGAAAAGGGGGAAAAACGCGTCGAGATGGTACTCACTCTTCGAGGCAAAGGTCCATACCGAGCGGGCGCAAGATGGAGCCCGTCGTCGTCGTCGGCCAGTACATGCGCACACCCCCATGGCCTAAGGCCTCAACCCACAAAATGTAAGCTGCGTCGTTGTGAGGACGTGGAAGGGGGCAGGGTGGAAAGGGGAATAGGTACGAGATAGGGAGACAACCGAGGAACGTGAGCGGGACGGGGACACGACGGATACGGTCGTTCGTTGAAGAAACGAGGATGCAACACTCACTGGTACACATCCACCACGTGCTGAAGTCGACCGGCATGCAGAGCCAGGTCAGGAACGGGATGATGAGAATGTCACCCCACTCTTGCTCCTCGTCGGCGAAAGCGGAAAGCAGCGGATTGGGATGCTTCGTCATGTGATGCTTCTTGTGGTACCGCCATGCCCATGATACCTCGTGAGTGGCTCTGTGGTACCAATAAAAGAAGAAGTCGAGGATGCAGGCGTAGAGGAAGAGCTGAAGGGGGAAGTACCAGCTGAGGGAAGGCAGGGCGTGGCGGTCGTACGCGACGCAGAGGGCGAAGAGAGGGCGGATCGAGATGGTGCCGAGGAGCGAGAGGACGACCTTTCGGGACTGGGTGTCGGGCACGCCGTCTCTGGGGGCCATGCCGTCAAAGTATCCGTAGCGGAGGGCCATGCGGTTGAACTTGCGTACGGACGCGACGGCAAAGAGCTTGAAGGAGATGACGTAGAAGAAGAAGGCGGCTACGGGGTGGAGCGTCCATCCGGTGAGGCGCATGTAGGCGTAGTGGATGACGAGCGGGGCGGCGGCGCGCGGGAAGATCCAGGCGTGCTGGCGCCAGGCCGGGTAGTAGGGGACCTTTTCGCCGACGCGGATGGGGGCCTTTGGTGCGTCCTTGGGCTGCTGGAGGAGGTCGAGGCGGACGAGCATGCGCTGCCAGAAGTTCCAGGTGGACGGGTCCTGGAGGTGCCAGGTGGAAGTCATGAGGTGCGGCTTGATGGCCGGCTTCGAGGGCGCCGTCGTCGACGACGCGGCGTCGGTGTTGGGACGCGACGCCGTCATGGTTTCTGTCGCAGACATGGCGAGCGGGGGCGCGTGGTGTCGATAACGTCGGTGGTGGGGGTCGATGGAGGACGATTGACGGTGCTCGACGGCAGGGGCAGGGTGGAGCAAACCGTCCACAGGCTCTTTGGTTATATAGGAAGTGCGGACGGCCGCCGCCATAGCTTTTCGATCATGGTCCGCGCGGCACGGCGGGGCGGACGAGCGGGCGGGCAGGCATGAGACCCGCAGGTGCGGTACATCGTGGCGGGCCCGTAGTGTGAGTAGACAGCACGAATGGAGCCGAGGCCGCGGTACGTACAGCGGGTGGGGCGAGGGCGAGGGCGAGGGCGACAGCATGCGATGGCAAAGGCGCGGGCGGACCATGGTGCTTTGCTGGCGGGCCTGCCCTGCCTGAGCAGCGGCAGCGGTAGCGGTTGCGGGGGCCGCGACCGTTTTTGTTGAAAGGCCAGAGGCGGGCCCACGGCGGACGCACCCACGCCGGACCCACGTCAAAGGCAGGGTCCAGGCTAGGGGGCTCAGGGCACAGCGAGTCGGGAGCCGAGGTGTCAGAATTTTCCGCTGCCGCCGCCGAGGCCCAATTTAATTTTCGACTTTTTCGCCGTGGCCCACCCACGCTCGATCTCTGCCTTTTTTTCACGCGGCGTAGATTTGGCACCCGTACACAGCGTGGCAAGATCTGGCGCACGTATGTACCCTTCGCGGAGGCCCCGGTCCGATATTGACAGCAAACCAGGGGAGAGAGGCGAAAAGACAAAAGGGCGGTCACTGGACGGACCATGACGCCGCCATCGTCGGGTGGCAAGAGGGGTCGTTGCCAGAGCAAGGCTGTGTATGTATCGCTGGCAGTGTGCGGGAACCGCGGGGGTTTGGGGGGCGGATGCCTGCGTGCTGCACGGAACTCGGGAACAAGAATGCACGCCCACCCGCGGGTCGGCTTCCAGGGCCAACCTGAAAGAGAGGGGTACGGTGTGACTGCGGATCCGCACAACATCGTCGCCCCTCGACTTTGTATCGTCCCGGCACCAACGGCGGACCATACTTTGCTCTCGAAGCTGTAGGTTCCGACTGGAACTGCTTCGACGGGACGTGACATCATCGTCATCGTATCCTCGTCGGACATCGACGCAAGGAATGCAGCCATGTCCGCCGTTGAAAAGGCGAAAATGGAGGCAGAGGAAAAGGCGGGGCCCCGTCAACATCGCCGTGGCCCTATGGTCGGACCCGCTCCTCGCAAAGTTGGCCAGCGCTCGATATAGCGCACGGATGACCATCACGTCAGGCTGACTGCCGACGCCTGACTGCTGATTGCTGACTGCTGACAACGACTGACGGCCCACCGATAACTGCACACACATCAGTCGGGAACCATCGCGACCCGGCCCTCGAGCTCGACGCTCGCGTCTCGTCAGCAGTGACTCCATTACGTTCCGTGTCTGTGTGTATGAGTGGGTGTTCGTGTGTGCAGAGAGAAGAAGAAGAAGAAGAAGAAGAAGAAGAAGAAGGAGCAAGTGCGGAAAGGCGACAGCTCCTCAGACCGGGCTGACTTGCGCCTTCCATGCTGTTGGACGCAGAGCATGATGAAAAGGACGAGGGTCGCAGGTCAGCTCCTGCCTCGCTCCCTCACAGTCCTACACTGCCCTCGGCACCCGACACTCACCCTTGAGATCGCTCATCAGGCTCGACATCTTGAGCGGCTTCTTAAGCCAGTCGTCCATGCCGGCCTCGCGCCCGCGCAGCCGGTCGGCCTCGGAGCTGAGGGCCGTGACGGCAATGATGCGGTGGCGCGGCGAGCCGTCGTCGCGCACCAGGTGCGCCGGCCGCAGCTTGCGGATCTCGGCGCACGCCTGGAAGCCGTCCATGATGGGCATGGTGATGTCGAGCAGCACCACGTGCGGCAGGTGCTCGCGGAACAGGTCGACGGCCTCGCGCCCATTCCACGCCTGCACGTACCGGATCCCTGCCCGGTCGAGCATCGTCGTCATGATGCGCATGTTGAGCGGGTTGTCCTCGACCACCATGACGACAAAGTCGTGCGACGTCGGGTCGCCGCCCAGGGCGTCGGCGGCCACGCGCACCTCTTGCAGCGTCGCCGGCTCGACGGCGTACTCGGCCGCAGCGGCGCGCACGTCGGTGCACGGGCTCGGGTTGACGTCGACGTCGTTGATCTGGTGCTGCGGCGCCACCATGGCCTTGCAATTCCCCTCGACGCCGTCGCTGTCGAGGCCGGCGCCAGAGCCGTCCGGGTTTCCGCGAGCGATGCCCAGCGGGTTGGCCGCCTTGGCGTCCAGGTTGGTCGGTGTCGGCAGCGAGGGCGCCTCGGACGACCGCTGCGTGTTGGAGAACCTGGACGCCGCCGATGGCTCCGACGACGTCGACCTCGTCGACTTGGAGCCTCGCGCGTCGCGGTGCGGAAAGAGCACGCGCTCCTTGACCGTGTCGATGATCGAGCTCGCCTTGTACCCGACGGGCCGCGGCACTTTGCGCGCCTGCACGTCGTTGGCCAGGCCGTGGCGCCGCAGCAGCGCGTCGAGCTCCGACTGCTCGACCCTGGCTCGCCGGCCGTCGCCGGACTTGGTGTCGATCCGCTCCAGCACGACGAGCTGCGACGGGCACTTCCTCGAAGCCGCCGCGGCGACTTGCGACAGCGCCTCGTCGCACTCCGACATGCTCTCGGCCGTGGCAAACAAAATGCGGGCGTCAGCCAGCCGCTCGACTTCGTCGAGCTTGTGGCGGCGCGCGATGATCGCCTTGGTCTTAGCCAGGCCCGGCGTGTCGAAGCCGACAAAGTGTGCGGCGACCCGGTGCTGCAATGCCGCCGACTGCGCCGGGCACGGCGCCCGCTTGGTCCGCCCAAAGCGCACCGGGAGCGTGATGCTAAACTTGGTGCCCAGCGGCGACGAGACCACCGTAATGTGGCCGCCCATGCGGTGGACGAGCCTCGAGGCGATGGCCAGCGACAGGCCCGATCCGGGCAAAAACGTGTCCTCCTTGGCGTACGGCGCAAACAGGTGCGACTCGATGAATTCCCGCTGCATTCCCTTGCCCGTGTCCTCGACGGTGACCTCGATGTCGTAGGTGCGGTCCTTTGGCCGCGGCTTGGATCCGGGGCGGATCTTGCGTTCACATATGGCCTCGCGCGAGCTGATCTTGAGCCCGACGGTGACGAAGCCGGCGCTGGTGGCCCGGATGGCGTTGTTGACGAGCTTACGCAGCACCGTCTGCAGCGCCTCGAGGTCGATCGTGGCAATCAGGTCGCCCGTCAGGTCCGACGAGTCGAGGTCGAGCAGCAGCTCGGGCGTCTCTTGCGTCGCGCCCGCTTCGGGCATGCCCAGCTCGCCCCGCTGCAGCGCCGAGATCCACTCGGACTTGCACGTGTCCGAGATGGCGGCCGAGATGTCGTTCCACCGGAAGCACGGCAGGTCGTCGGCCTTTTTAGGCTGCACCGGCATCGCCTTGAGCGCCCCAAAGTCGAGCACGTTGTTGATCATGTTGTTGAGGGCGTCGGCCGACGTGGCTGCCGATTCGACGAGCGCCGCCAGCTCCTGCTGATCCGCCGCCTCCGGGGCTAGGCAGCGCTCGGCGAGCGACTCTTTCAGGATGTCGAGCGTCCCGATGACTGCAGGCGGGGGTCATAAGAGGAAGGGTGTCAGGGCGGATCAGCAGACTCGTCGCGGTGGGTGTCAAGCGAAAGCGGGTGCGACGGCCGAACACGCACCTGCGTGCAGCGGCGTCCGCAGCTCGTGCTGGATTCTGGAGATAAAGTGTGTCTGGGCGCGGTCGACGCGGGCCACACGCGAGCGGATGCTCCACGTGAGGAGCAACGAGCCCACCTGCTCGACATAGTGACGGTCCGCCGCCTCGAGAACCGGCGGCTCGTCGAACGCGACAAAGATCATGAACGCCGGCTGGTTGTCAGTCTCAAAGACGGGTACGGCGATCAAGCCTTGGCAGCCGTTGGGCACGAGGTTGGAGAGCGACGATGCCTCGCCAAAGATGGTGCTTTCCGCCGACTTGATGTGCTCGCCCTCGGCCTGCGGGCGGCTGCTGAGGCCGAGCTCCTTGGTCGTGGCGAGGAACTCGGCGATGAGCGGCCGCGAAAACGTGCCGTCGAGGTCCTCGTAATGGTGCATCGCGCCGCCCGAGCTGCCGATGACGCCGATGGGCTGGCTGGTAACGGGGAACGAGCATGTCCAGCCGTCCGAATTGGCCGAGTCCTCGCTCTCGCCAGCCGTCGCCTCGCCCATCGATGCGCGGGCGGCGATGCTCGGGCTGGCTGCCTCGGCCACGGTCGTCGCCACGACAACGTCTTCTGCCGGAAGGGCGAGCGCGCTGCCATCGGCTTGGGCGGGGTCGACATGGGCCGAGGCCGATGCCATCGTCGCCGGCATACCCAACTCGGCAGCTCCCGAGTCCGGCTCGTGGAGGCTGGTGCGGACGTTCCAGGTGTCCCAGGTCTCTGCCTGAGGCGCAGACTGACCGCCAGCGGCGGCAGCATCGGCCTCATTGATCGGGTCCGACGACTGGCTGCCCCCGGAGCCGTCGGTCGCAAACAGGCGGAAGCAGCTAATGTCCCAGATGACGCAGCTGTGCGCCTTGAGGATGGCGCGGATCGACATGGCCGCCTGCGAAAAGATGCCCATGCCGAGCGAGCCCGTCTCCTTGCCGATCGACGACTGCGGCAGCTCGCCCGAGACGAACCGCTTCATCGAAATGAGCGACGACTGCGCCAGCAGCTCCTTTTCGCGCCGCATCACGTTGGCGTTGCGCTCGAGGCCGGTGCGCACCGTCTGCGCCATCGAGTCGACGATGCGGGAAAAGTCGGCGCCGCACCGAGGGCCCGCGGGTCTCTGCTCGAACGCAAACAGCATGCCCACAGGGACCGGTTGCCGGTCCGGCGATGGCGAAAGGCAGATGGCGCGAAAGACGGACGTGAGGTGAAAAGGGGCGTCCTTGGTGGGGATCGGGGGGCCTGTCTGGCGCACCAGCGGTGGCCGGCTCAGTGGCGAGTCTTCGCTGCGACTGGCACGCATGGCACGGGACCAGCTTTCGGCGTTTGAGGAGGACGACGACGAGGTCGACCCGCGCTCGAGCACCGGCGACTCGAGGATGACATTCTGCCATGGCGTCTGGCAGCAGCGCTCGAAGGCTGCGGTGCGCGACAGCGGGCAGGCGCCGTTCCAGTCTTGGCCCGACACCTGCACGAGGCCCTGCGAGCCGACGGCGACGAGCAGCCCGAATGCCCAGCCCGTGTGCGTGTACGCCAGCAGGTCCAGGAAGCCGTCGATCTTGTCCATCTCGGGCGGAGGCTGCAGTTGGAGGCCGTGCCGGGTGACGGCCCGCTCGCGGACAGGATCAAAGTCGATTGCGGCCTCGAACTCGATGTCGCCGCCGTCGTCGTTGTCTCCTTCCCCTTCGCCGCCATAGTCGAGCCCTTGACCGGATCCAGGAGCGGGGTATATGCGGTCCGCAAGCGATGACCGCCGCAGGCCGATGAGACCCTGGCCGAGGGAGCCGGACGGTGTCTCCCCATCAAAGTTGCTCGACTGCACGCGTACGTGCGACTGAAACGAGACCGAGCGGTTGTCGGCGACCATCGGCGCGGCCTTGGGCGACCAGGTGCCAGAGGTGCCCCAGCGCCACCCAGATCCCGATCCAAAGGGTTCCGACGTGGTGGTGGCGTCGGTAGCGGTGGCCCACTCCGTCGCAGACCCACCAGCATCGAAGGCGGCGCCACTCACTGCCACATTCCTTTCGCCGTCGCAGGCGCCAGGGCCAGCGTGGCTGCCCGGCCGACTGTAGCCCATCGAGCTCTCGCCGCGATGGAGGCTAGAGGCCGAGGATGAGGCGCGGCGCGATTCCCATTCCGTCTCGCCGTCTTCGGGAGCTGTGGCTGGCCGCATGCCCCGCCTCATTGGCAGCTTTGGCCTCTTGGCGACGTCGAGGTCGTTGTGCGCGTCGGTCGGCGTCGTATCGGCGATGCGTCTCTTGCCCGGCAGCAAGGCCTGCCTCAGGTACTCTTTGGAAGCGTCGGGGATCGAAGGTCTCGACGAGTCGTGGGGCGACAGGTTGAATGGCCGTCTCCCAACTTCGGGAGGTGCAGTGATGATGGAGCTCGCCGGGGTAGCGGGTCGAGAACAAGGCGAACGCGTTCTGGGGTCAGCAGGACGCGGTGCGGAGGTCGGTCGGCGACCGGATCGCCGCAGCTGCTTCGCCGCTCGAGGCCGCTCGAAGTTGGCGATCGGCCGGGGTTTTGGGTGTAAGGGAAGGATATGAATCTACCGGGCGGGACGAAAGTATGTGAGGGGCTGATCCGGCGACCCGGGAATTGGATCTGAAGGATATTGTAGAGACGAGGCGTTGCAGTAGGTGTGGCTGGAGGTGCAGGTCGTGATCCCAAGAGACTCGGCGGCGCTGGTGTGCGCGGCCTCGGAGCGCAGCCTTCTGGTGAGCTGCGGCGATGGCAGCAGGAGCGACCGCTGCCAACGGACAAGGGAAGGCTGCAAAGGCGGCAGCGGCGGCGGAAGCGGCAGAGCGATGCGAGCTGGAGCCTGTGGGCGTGTCTAACGAGATGAGCTGTTGAGCTCCGTTTGAGTTGTGCTGAAAGAGTACCGCGGCTACCAGTCTCCGGTACACGGTGGTCCGTCTGACAGCAGCGGTCGTCCGGTGATAGGCGGTGGAACTGACGAGAACAGGAAGTGTAGGCACCAGTACGGGTGCCTCTGTGGTGAAGCGAAGCCGGCAGGACCAATCGACAGGTGGAAGAGCAGGCGACGACGTTTGGTGGGGCGGGGGAGATCGTGGCAGTTCAAGTTGCGGTGATGGTTGTGGTGCGGTGGTGAAAAGTTTGCAATCGCTGCGTTTGGTGCCAAGGGGCGAGGAATGGGGCAAGGCGGCGGTTGGATGGTGGGTCTGGGGATGGCGGTATGCGGGAGGCGGTAGGCGGCGATGGTAGCTGGTGGCAACGAGCAAGGGCGACTTCGTCGTGTCAGACCACTCGTTTGGCGTTGACCGGAACGCCAAGCTAAGAGGAGAGCAGCGCTGGGGCGCCCTGAAACTCGTCCCGGTGCGGCGCGGCAGGTACGGTGCTAGGGCAGGTGTGGCGGCTGACTGGAGCGGTGTCCGGTACAGGTGCCGGTATCGGTGTCGTCGAGGCGAGGCGTGTAGCAAAGTTTGAACGAACGGTGGCGACGACGAGGTGGCGGGCAAACCTCAGCGTTGGGCCGGTGATGGTGCGGTGATGGTGCGGTGATGGTGCGGTGATGGTGCGGTACGGTGCGGTACGGTGTTGTGGGTCGGCGGTCGCAACGTTATGGGAAAAGAGGCTACGGTTGCGCTCGGACACGTCGAGGGGCGAAGCAAGGGTCGAGACCCTCGATGGGGAAGACAGGCGGGTAGGCAGGCAGGCAGGCACAGGCAGGCGGGCAAGCCAGTCAGCCAGTCAGCCAGTCATCCAGCCAGGCAGCCAGCGAGCGAGGTGACTGGCGGGCCCTGGGAAGGTGGGGGCTGGGTTGCCAACGCACCTGGGCGCGGCCCGACTACTCTCCCTTTTGCGACGCATCCACGCACGCACGCACGCCGACCAAGCAGCCTGGCCTGCTTTAGCCTGCCCGGTTGCAAGCCTTCTCGCTTTGCGCCCTTGCCTGCTTGTCATGGCAGCCAGCCGCCGTTGGTGCAGCCACCCACAAGACACTCGACTGGCTCCTCTGCGGTGAGCCAGGCCTTTTTATGCGGGCGCACCCCCTCATCGTCGGCGATGCCGGTGGACAGCGCAGTCTATGGGCAGATATGTACGTGTATGCCTCTGCGGAACAGCCTCCGGCCTTGCCTTTGATGGCCCAGAGCGGCCATCGATGCCCTCGACGAGGCCGTCAGCAGGCGAAGTCGACCTCTCCAGCCTTTCTGTATCTCGATCCGTACGTCGTGCCTCTGCGACCACCAGCGACGACGACGACGTGGCGTTTCGGGTACGGCCATCGGCTGGTGCGGGAAAAGAAAAACGAGGCAGGCGGCAGGCAGGCAGGGCAGCTGCTAGGCCCGGACGCAGCGCAGCGCAGGCAGGCCAGGGTCAGCAGCTAGGCGAGCCTGGGGCCGGGTCCAGGGTCCAGACCTTCTTTCTCGCTTGGCAGCTAGGCCTCGCCGGTCTGCCTCTCGAGGGAGCAAGGGCCCACATGCACACCAACACGCGCCCGCCCCCCCCCGTCGCTTGCCTGCTGTTTGCTTGCTTGCTTGCTTCGTGGCCCGGCCAGCCCCTAGCCTGCGCGTAGCCTGCCTCTGCAGGCCAACGCGCCCAGAGGCAGGCGCGGCAAAGCAGGAACCAATCCAGACCAAGCAGGCAGGCAATCGAAATTCGAACACCTCGCTCCGCTTGAAACCGGGCAGTCGCGCTTCATTTTTGTATTCCCGCCCAGACTCGGTGCGATTAAAATGGCGCAGTGGCGGCTCATTGTTCGAGGCCGAGCCCAGCAGCTCCCGCCGCCGAGCGCCGGACATCGACGGACGACCGCCACCGACCACCGACCACCGAGAGCACGTCGGCGTTCCTGTGTGGCTCGGCGCTTCAGACCACCCAACCCGAGGCCATCGGCGGCCGCCGGCCGGCCATGCAGCCGGTTGTGGCAAGACAAAAGCAGGCAGGTTCAATAAGGTGCTGCGGCAAGGGCCTTCGCCTTGCCTGGACGGTTGCTGTCGACAGAGCAGGCTTGACCTGCCTGCTGTTGCTTCCTGCCTGCCTTCCTGCCTGCTGGTTGCTGCCGCAAGCGAGTCGAGCGGATCGTATATCGCCGCGTCGACGAGGCGTGCTGAGTGAGGGATGCATCACCTTCAGAAGCAAGCAAGGCGGCTGGGCCTGCTCGCTACGTCAGGCAGAGGACAAGAAGGCGCACCACGCTCTCCCGGAATCTCCTCCTGCTTGCTTGCCTGGTTTATCGCAGTCAGGATAAGGCGCTCGCCATCTTGCCACCGGTATCGGTACGCCTGCCTTCTTCGCTCCTGCTTGCCTTGGATGGCTCCCGAGACAGCGCTAGGCATGGCGCCAGGGGAGCGGAACAGCCGAGCCTCTTCTCCCTCTCTCCGACCATGGTCCCGCGGCAACGACCCGATAAATTGGTTAGCGCGACGCTAGACCATCGGTCCCGACCCGGCTAGGCTCGTCCGACGACAACAGCGTACGTATGCCCTGGCCTGCCTAGCATCTTTGCTCCTCTATCTCGCAGGCCTGCAGGCTAAGGTCAATACCCGACGCACGCGATCGGAAGTCCAGAAGCAGGAGCGAGCGAGCGAGGTGTCGGTTTAGCCCGCGTGGGCCCTCTGGTGCCCAACAGGCAGACGCATCCATCTCACCTCTTGGGCGGCTCCTACGTATCCATCCCAGATCCCCAAAAGGTCGAGGTGTTGGCGGCGAGGTGTCGCACTGTCCTGGCTTGGCAAGCTACTACTACAAGCACTACTACTCCAACTGTAGCTGCTTCTCTTCCTCCTCTGGTCTTGCCTCGCGATCTTCCTTGCATGCGGCGGAAGAGGGCACGCACGCATTCACCATCTGCGATCAACGACAAGCTGGCCTAGAAAGTCGGAGGACCCGACGATGCGACCGACGCATGCTGGCCGAGTTCAGCCGCGCACGGTGCGGTGCGGTGCGGTGCGCACAATGGGCGGCTGGGACTGGATGGCGTCGGCCCTACCGGTACCGCACCTGCCCTCTTGTTGTTGGTCGGCATGAGCCGGATACGCTGTGCGCGCGGCAGACGGTCTCGTACAGTACCGCATCATAGCGTACCGGTACCTGATGTACCGCACTTTCTGCCCGTCGATCTGAGTGGGGCGCAGCGCTCGACGAGGCATGTGATGGCGAGAGCACGAAAACGGTCGGAGGCGTGCCATCGCGATCGACCTCGACAGGCTCAGCGCACGGCGAGTCTGGACCTCTCTGACCCCCTCGATCGGTCGCGTGCCTGATCAGGCCTGGCCTGCCTGCCTGTCTGCCTGGAAAGCTTTAATTTAACGCTCGTCACGCCTGACCTTCCCATCGTACGGGTCGCTCGTACCAGAGTCCGACCTGATATGCCAGTCAGACCTCGACAGCAAAGTGCGATCAATGGCGTCGAGTCGAGCCAAGTCGAGTCGAGTCGAGTCGAGGACGAAGAATGACCAGCTCCGCTTGTTTATCCGCCGCCTCTCGCGCACACGGGCTCCTCGGGACCAAAGGCTACCTTCGGATCGGATGCTCATCATACGCTCCCTGGCTTGACCCTCGACCTGGCTTGGCATCTTCCACGCTCCGTCCCGCCTTTGTCGGTCTGTCGCTGTCGTCGCCGTCACGACCTCCTTTCCACTCTTTATGTTCAGACCGATCCCGTTGAAGAACGATGTCGATCCCGCTTTCACGACCAGAAGAAATACAGACGCGTGCGAAGAGAGAGAACCGGAGAAGCGAGAAAGGCTATCCCGTGACGCATCCATCGAGAGAGAGGAACCAGCGTGACAGCCTGGCGGACTGAGAAGCCAGACCAGGATGCATAACCTAGATGCCAAGCGAAAGAGGAAAGAGAGCAGGTGACAAGCTGGTAGACCGCACAGCACTAACTGGCGTGCTGTGGGAGCCCACCAACAGAGCCCGGGACACAGGCAAGGCAGGAGATGGCAAGGCCGTCGATCGGGACGGCGGCAGACGTGCTCAAGCGCTGGCAGTCGACGTGTCGGTCGTTGCGGCGGGATCAGCAGCCGGAGTCGCGTCGACGGACGCGGGGGCGCCCGCGGCGTCGTCGGGGCTGGCCGTGATGACCTCGAGGTTGGCCATGTCGAGCGTGCTGACGGCAGGATCAGTGACGACCCTGCCACACTGGCCCTGAGCGGCAAAGCCCGCCTGACAATCGCCGGGCAGCTCGTAGATGACACCCTCGTAGCCCAGGATCGTCGTCGTCGCCTCGCCGCCGACGGCGCCGTCGGTGCTGGCGGCAGCGGCAGCGGCAGCGTCGTCGCGCGTCTCAAAAGACACGACGATCTCGGAACGCTTCTTGAAGGGCACAGAGGAGTAGCGTCGCACCATCTTGAAGTCGGTGAAGCGCAGGATGCCAGTGTTGGAGAACGCCGTGATCCCCGTCCAGGTGTCGGGCAACTTGACGTCCCTGCCGGCGGGCGCGTTAAAGGTGCCCACCTTGAACGCTCCGCGGTAGGCCGTGATGACGCCGGGCTTGAGCACGGTCATCGAGATGAGGTCGGCGGTGAAGCCCTGCGCCGTCCATGTCACGCCGCTGAAGCACTCCATGTAGTGCGATCCCGCCGGCAAGGCCACGTTTCCGGGAGCACCCGCTCCAGGATAAGTCGAGCAGGCGCCCTGCGGATCGTTCTTGAACTGGCCGGTGGTGGCTGAGATCTTCCAGCCGTTGATGGTTCGTGCAGTGAAGTCTGGAGAGCAGAAGGGCCAAGGGCGTCGAGCGGCGAGCCGAGAGAGCCAAAACGAGCTGTCAGCAACGAGGAGCTCTCGGCGGCGATGGCGTGGCCGACGACAGGCTACCATGTCAACCAAAGCATCGGCCCCAGTCTAACTGTTCTGCACTCACCGAACTGCGTGGGGAAGCTCTTGAAGCCGAGTGTGTCGGCGTCGTCTCCCATGAAGACGGACCAGTCCTGCACCTGGGTGCAGTTGCCGCTGTGGTTGATGTTCTTGCGGCCGCAGTCGACCACCTGCCGAACGTAGGGCGCAAGCTGGGTGGCGGCATTGTAGACCCAGCTGCCAATGACCTCGACGCGGTTGCCCTTCGAGTCCCTGCCGCCCATGTCGGTGGCCGCCTCGGCGCCAAAGACGTTTGTGTAGTACTGGCACTGCCATCCGGTCGCCTGGCCGTTGAGGGCGAGGAGGAAGATGTTGAACTGGTTGCAGTTCTTCTTGATGCCGTTGAAGTAGGCCGGGTCGGCCGTGTACCTTTCGCAGAGGGCCTTGCAGACGAGCGGGTCCGGGATGCCCGTCATCGGGTCCGATTTGGTCATCTGCGGGTCGATGCCTCCGTTGGCCGCCACCTGCGTGCTCGTGACGTTGATGGCGCCGGGCAGCCGAAAGGGGCCCGAGAAGCCGGGGACCTGCTTCGACATGAGGTTGTTGCGGTTGAAGAACGTAACGCCGGCCTGGGTGCGCCAGAACTTCCTCTGCCACTGTCCCTCGTTGGTCGCATCGGCGGGGCCGAGCGGGTAGCCGTAGAAGAGGACCTTGATCCACACGCCGGGGACGGGGTTGGGGACGGTGTCGCTAGGCGCCACGGTCGGAGTGCGCTCGAACCACATGGCAAAGGAGACGCAGTCGGTGATGGTGTTGCACTTGGCGGCCATTGCGCCGGGATCCCAGGCCGAGGCCGTGTTGATCCGCAGCACGGCGGGCATGTTGCCGCGCACGCTCTTGAGGCCCGTGTAGCTCTTTGTCCAGCCATTGACGGAGACAGTGTTGGCGGCCGTAGAGTAGAGCGAAAACGCCTGGAACTCGGCCGGAGTAAAGTTGCCGGCGGGCCACTGGGCAGTGTCGACGTAGTTGCCGGCAGGCAGGTTCGGGTAGAGCGACTTGGGCTCGTCGCGCTTTCGCAGCGTCGTGACCGACACGGTGGGAGCAGCGGCGTTCTCTTCGGCCTCCTGAGCGCCCTCGAGAAGGTCGTCCTTGATGGCGGCGGCCGGCGTGGCAGTGGCGAGGATCGACTGGACTGCAGTGGCGGCGTCGATCACGGTGAAGGCGACATCGGCCGGGATCGAGGTGGGAGTGGGCAGCTCGGCGAGCGCATCGAGGTCAAACTCGGGCAGCGGGCTGGCCTTGCTGGTCAATGCAACGATTGGCAGCAGCACTGCAACGAAGCGGAGCCACTTGGACATCTTGGGGGGTCGTTGTTGAGCGTGGGAAGGCTTGAAATGGGTTGAGGTCGTGGTCGACGGTGTCGATGCAGAAAGAGGTAAAGGGGTGCTCGGCAGGCAGTCCTCTTATAGACTTGACGTTGGCGGTGGCCGCGACTTCGAGCATGGCCACGGGGGCTCTTGGAGCCATTGTGCGGCTGCTGTGCCTGCTGCTGCTGCTGCTGCTGCTGCTAGCCTCCGCACACGACGTGCCAGCGGGATGGGCGACATGTGCGGAGAGACTCTGAGGTCGAGAGGAAGGCGGCGTCCTGTTGCGAAGGACGTCAGCTGAGGTTGCGCTTCCATCAGCTGATGACATCGAAGCACGCGAAGCAGGTGCGTCCGGGCTCGACTCAGAGAGAAGGCAACGGACGCACCTTCTATCCCGCTCTCCGAGCTCGTCTGAGTGTTCCGTCGGTAGCCCATGGTGCAAGGTGGGCAGCCGCGGATAAAGGCACAGCTGTGGGAGGAACCTATTGAAGCCTGGCGCGAAGGTCGGAAGCCGTGTTCGCGCTAGTCGATGTCCGGAGGATAGGTGGACCGGTCCCGGTACCACTGCGAGGCTTGCGGCCAGGGGCGCGAATGGACATCGTCGCCTCTTAACACGATCGGTCTGGACGGAATGTAGCAGCTCGTCTCACCGCCTGCCCGACGCACGAAGGAGTCTGGTCCCGCGTCGGCTGCAGGGGATGAAGATGTGCGACGTTGAGGTGGGCAAGTGCGGCCCATCGAGCAGCGAGGGCGGTGCTTGCCGACGGGAAGAGGTGGCACGGTGTGGTCGATGACCATTAGGCAGACGCTGACGACGGCGGCCAAGTGAACGCCTACTTGCTTCTGTTGCGAGATCCGCCGTTCTTGACAGCCGGGACCGGGGCCAGCCAGGCCGAGCAAAGTCCTGGACCTGTTTCGGGACCTGTGTCCTTTGTGTCCTTGGCAGATGCGGCGTAGGCGCAGGCGGCGGCGGCGGCGGCAGAGACCGGGGTGGTGGCACTTGGGTGGACGACGGCTGCAGCGGTCCGGCCGTGCTTGCGGTCGAGATGGTAGAGCTGAGTGACAGGGCGTTGGGGTCTGGGCCGGAGCGCCATGGCCGGCACGGGGCGCGGAGATGGACAAGGCGGGGGGCAGCGGAACGTCAATTGGAGGCGCGCGTGCACAGTAGGTGGCGCCTCGACCGTCCCGTCCCTTCCGTCCGAATTTGAAGTACCAGCACTCACAGCATGGTGCGTCCAGCCATCAAGCCAAGCGCAGCCACCGTCTCGAAGGCGGAACCGGCCGCTTCTCAGCTCAGGACTCAGATCCGCGCCACGGATTGCGACTGCGGTGCGTGCTCCCGACTGCCGTGCGTACGACAACGCGAGACGGGACGCCTCCGTCTGTCGGCGCGACAAGCTGACTCCGAACCAACGAATCCGGGGCCGCTTCTGAGCCATACTGCGGTGAGCTGCGCTGCTCGTCGTTGCACCTGATCCCGTCGAAGCCTGGCGTCGCCTACTGTAGCAGACAGCTTGGCTTGTTCTGCGGGTGCGTCCGAGGGGGTCGATGGGTTGTCGCTGAAGCGCTTGCTTTAGCCCAGCGCGGACCGCACTCCGCTGGACCTGGTCGCGGGGACAAGGCCAGAATTACCACGAAGGGCCGGGAAAGAGATGGCGTCAGCAAGATGCCACTCAGCGCGCCGCAAAAGAGTGAAGATTGTGGTGGTGAAGGAAGGAAGAGACGGAGGTCCGAGTGGCGAGGTCCGGTGACAGGGTGGGTCGGAAGCAAGGTGGGGCGGGGCCACCAGAAGGCCTGCCCCAACACCTTGCCAGGGGCCGCCGACTCCCGCTCCTTCGCCCTTGCTGCTGACCTCCTGTGCCGGTGCCAGTTCGCTGCTTGCCACCCACAGCGAGCTGCCGAGGCACGATCCTGACAGCCCCTTTCAATGCAGCCGGCCGCAAGCGGCACTCATGACGCCGCCGCTGTCTTGCTCGCTGTTGCCCGCAAAGGGTAGAAAAGGTATACTGGTGCTAGGGTCACATTGCCGCCACTCGGTTCTTCCTCGTTCGATGGCCCCTCAACCACCGCCCGCCAGCTCGACAATGAGCCGCGTCGCGCATTCGAGAAAGAGGAAGGGGCTGTTGACCTCCTTGCGTCCCGCGGGGACCGCAGGCGCCAAGCTGGGCTTCCTCCCCGAACCACCATCGAACCGGTGCTTGCCCAACGGTCCCTCTTCAGCGAACGCTGCCTGCGACGTCCTCATCGCCTCGTCGAAGGCAGCATCGAGCTTGTCCGTGTCCAGCTTGCCAGTGCCTCCGGCAGAATCCGCCGAGGTCCCTCCCTCTTCCTCGACCTCGTCATCGCCCTCGGCCTCGCCAGCCCGGCGTCTTTCTGCCGCCTCGAGCCGCGTGTAGCCGACGTTGCGAAAGTCGACCAGGTAGTTGGACGAGTCGACGTGGTAGAGCTGCAGGTCCATCCGTACCAGGATGTCTCCCACCTTCCACCTCGTCTCGAGAAAGTAGAGCGCCTCGCCTTTGCTCTGGTCCTGATCTGGGCCACCGCCGCCATCCTTGCCGTCGGCCTCGCCCGCCTTGGCGGCCGCCTGCTCTGGCTTGGCGCGCCATTCCATGCCCAGCACCTGCAGCGTGCGGTAGAGCTCTAGCATGATCTCCATTGGCGGGCTGCGGCTACGGATGCCAAAATGCCAGCGTGACCTCGGCTTCTTGTGCATCTGCGCTGTCGACGACGGCAGCGGCGCCGGCGAGATGCCCCCAGAAGTGGCCGGCCACGTCGGGTGGCGCTCGGCGCTGGGAGTCGCCAGCCTTTCCGCCTCCCTCGCCCGCAGGTAGCCCGGCAGGCTGGTCTCAAGCACAGCGATGCCCGTCGGTCGCACGCCGCCCTCGAGCGAGGTGTCTTCGTCGGTGAGGTGGGCATCTTCGTCGTCGTAGAGCGCGCCGTCTTCGTCGTCGGAGGCGTACGAGTCGTTGCCATCTTCGCTCTGGTCTCCGTCGGCCTCGACGGCAGACGCTTCGGCCTCGGCCTCTTCCTCCTCGGTCAGGGCCGACGGGGCAGTGGCGCCGCTGGCGGCCATCCGCTCGCCAAGCTTGGGCTTGCGCTTGAGGCTCGTCGACCTGCCCATCACGCCGTCAAGGCCCTCGTTCCACGGCGGCGGGCTCTGGGCCAGGAAGTTTTCCATGCCGTGCTGATCCTCCATGTGGTTGATGGTGACCATGCGGTGGTGGTCGCGCACCAGCTGGTAGGCCACCTTGACCTGATTGTCGCCCTTTTCGCGGAGGTGGTGGAGTACGTCGTCGCGATCGAAGCCAACCATCTTGCCGGCGAGCTCATCGACAATCTCCGGGTCGATGGTGTCCAGATCGCAGCTCGCGTGGCCGCCAGGATGCAGGCCGGACCGGCTCGACGAGGCCGAAGATGCATCCGCCGAAGAGGACCCGCTCAACGTCGTCGACGACTCGTCGCCGGCAGCGGGAGGCGACGCGCCAAAGTCGAAGCCGACGCTCTCCACGGCCGGGGTCGGAGGGAGCGGCCGCAGATAGGCCGGGAGGTCGACGTTGAACCAGGGGTGGGCACGGATCTCGGAGATCGTGATCCGTTTGACCGGATCGACGACGAGCATCTGCGACAGAAGATGCCTGGCCTCTTGAGAGAGGAACGAGGGCAGGCTGTAGATGCCGCCGTTGATCTTTTTGAACAGCGTGGGGATGTACTCGTCGTCGAAAGGCAGGCGGCCGCAGAGCATCACGTAGAGGATGACTCCGCAGCTCCAGATGTCGATCTCGGGTCCGGCGTAGAGACGTCCGGAGATGACCTCGGGCGCGGCATAGTTCGGGCTGCCGCAGCTCGTCTTGAGGAAGTCGCCGTCGGTCATGATGTTGCTCAGCCCAAAGTCGCCGATCTTGACGTTGAGGTATTCATCGAGCAGCAGACTGCGCCAAGGTCGTGCAGGTGCAGAGACGAGCCGCACAAGCGGGTCAGCAACCAGGTCGAGGACGACAAGTGTTCGAGCGGTCGGCAAGGGCCGCGTCCACCGACTCGGGCAGACTCACTTTTCCGGCTTGAGGTCGCGGTGGACAATCTTGTGGCGGTGGCAGTACTCCATGGCGCAGATGATCTGCTGGAAAAAGCGACGGGCTTCGTTCTCGGACATTCTACCTCGATCCACGATGTACTGGAACAGCTCGCCACCGGCGTACTGCGGTAGTGGGGATGTAGGAAGGAGCGGACCTCCAGGTCAGCTTGGTCGATGCGGGAACGCCGGTGGCTGACGGTGGAGGGGGACTGGCGCGGCAAGCGACTCACCTCGATGACCATGATGATGTCCGAAGGGGTGGTGATGACCTCGTAGAGCTTGATGATGTGGGGATGCCGGAGCAGCTTGAGGTACTGGATCTCGCGCTTGACGCGGCCGCCCATGTCGAGCGACGAGATCTTGCGGCGGTTGATCATCTTCATGGCGACCCTGTGGCCTGTGAGCGAGTGCGTTGCCACTGTCATTGCGACAACAGAGGCGGAACAGGTCAATGCCACATCCGACGTCGGCACTCAGGCTACGGCCGCGAAGGCTACCCACGTTTGACTTTGCCAAAGCTGCCGGTGCCCAACGTCTGCTGCAGCGTGTACTGGCCGATGCGGACGGGCTGCTTGGACGATGACCTGGCGGCGCCACCAGAGGTGCCCGATGCGACGGCAGCATCTGCCGCTTTGCTCGCGGACGCGCTCATCGCGCGCGCTCAACGGCGAGAGTATAGGGAAGCAGCGGGGGATCCGAAGCTCGGGCGTTCGGTGGTCGTGGGTCGGCCGCGGAATCAGAGGTGCACCGGCTCGATCGCAGAGCGTCCGAGCAAGGTCGGGCAGTGTACGGTGATAGCTGGTGCAAGTGCAAAGCAGGACAGTGGTGATGTCGGGTTGACAGAAACGGTGATGGTGGCAGCAGTGGTGGTGATGGTGGTCGAGACGATGGACCCTGGTGGCCTCTGCTGGTGTGCAGAGGAGGCGGCCCCGCGTGGCTCTGGCTGCACGACCCGCCTCCACACACGCCCCTGCCACGCCCGCCGGCCGCCGCAGCGCGGACGGGCCAACACGAGCACCCAGTGCCTTCAGCAGCATCGTCCAGAGCCCTGCAAAAGATTACAATAGCAGTTCTTGAAGGCATTACATTCTCCTCTGTCAGCAACCAAGAACCACAAGATACAAGCTGTACATGAAACTTGAATGATCAGAATGAAATGTTCTGATGGGGCAAACACCCTTCCTAGGCCATGTTCTGGCTGCTACAGGTATCGCTGCATGGATGAGAATCAGCCCTAGCAGTGCTCCAATCAGCCTACCCCAAGCATCATTGCAAGGCTGAGGATCAGGACTAGCAGATGAGCAAGGTTGCAGGGTCTTTCACAGGGCAGCTGTGGAGATTTGTTGGGCAAAGTGTTGAACATGCTCGAAAATCACCGGAAATCAACATTCTGCCCACACAAACTGCCTTCCAGGGCTCTGATCCAGCTGCTCCAAGCATCATTGCAAGGCTGAGGATCAGGACTAGCAGATGAGCAAGGTTGCAGGGTCTTTCACAGGGCAGCTGTGGAGATTTGTTGGGCAAAGTGTTGAAAATGCTCGAAAATCACCGGAAATCAACATTCTGCCCACACAAACTGCCTTCCAGGGCTCTGATCCAGCTGCTCCAAGCATCCTTGCAAGCCTGAGGATCAGGACCAGCAGATGAGCAAGGTTCCAGGGCCCTACTCTAGGCAGATGTCATATGCACTCATCAGGTCAAGAAGGCCCTCCTCTTTCCCTCTGTTGGAAACATGCCGCACCACAATCAACAACATGGGCTCACCTTATTCTCTCCGCCTCACCTCCCTTGAAGACAGCTGCTGGAGCTGCTATTGCAGAGACTTTATGGTAGAGGCAGATCATGCATGATACCACATGGATAGTGAGCATCGGAAAGCCTTCAGTGCTTGCTGGCCTCAGGACCTGTTGGCGTCTTCAATGGGCCTGTTGATCTTGACAGGACTGATGCAATGAGGCGCAGCGGTGATGAAGATGTGGAGGATCGTCGACGGCGGCTGCTGCTGCTGCACAGACCACGGGCGATGTTGCTGGTCTCCTGTTGGACGCGGGGTGCACTTTTCTCCTTCATCTCGTCGCCACCCATCCTGCTTCATTCCGCCTCTCCTTTCAGCGGCGCACCATGGCTGACGCTGCACAGCCGTCTGGCGGTCAACGGCCGGTCTCCCCAATACGGCCCATCACACGCCTCCTAGAGGAAGCCCAGCCCGCGGCGCGAGTGTCGCTGACGGACCTGCCCAACGAGGTCCTCTCGCTCATCCTCGACTACCTCCTCCCCACCGTCTCGCCCACGTCGTCGACCTACCCGAACCCGGCGCTCGATACGCTCGACAATGCCTTTACGCTGCCGAGCAGCACCGTGTCGCACCTGTACCATGCCAGCCTGGCCTGCTCGACGTTGCACGGCCTGGCCCAGCACTCGCTGTGGCGAGCCCCTCTCCTCACGTCGCTCCGCGCCATCCGCCTCCTCGCAGCGGCGATACAGGACGGATCGACCGAGAGGGCGGGCACCATCCGAGCGCTGCACCTGCCTGCCGCCGACGGCGTGCTAGAGGCCAACGACACGCTGGCCGATCAGAGCGCGTACCAGACGAGCCTGCGCACCATCTTTGACCACGCCGACCGCATCGACTGCATCAGCCTGGGCCACCGTCCCGCTGGCCGGGCGTTCTACGAGTTTCTGCACCCGCACACCGCTGCCCGCCCTCGTACCGCCATCCTGGGCAACCTCAGCTTCTCGACGCCGCCGTTTTCGCAGCTCGACCTGGCGCCCCTCTCGTGCGTCCGCCGGCTGCACCTCGTCAACATCGTCCCGCCGCCGGCGCTCATCTCGTTCCTGTGCGGGCAGCAGGTCGATACCGACTCGGCCGCGTCCAAGCTGGACGGCACCGCCAACCCGAGCCGCTCCCTCACCCACATCCGCCTGTCGCTCCTCCCACCGGACTCGCTCCTCTCCTTTCCGGCGTTTATCGAATGGCGGCGTGCCTCGGACGCCTATGACCGGCTGCCGACGAGGGTCAGGCTCCACACGCCCGCCCCTCGTGCTCCGCAGGGTCCGGCGCGGCGGTTCGCGGCCCAGGAGGCGCTCTACACGCTCGCGACGCACTCGCACCTCTTGCCGAACTTGCGTGCACTCCTGCTCGAGCTCGTCGCTCTCCACCCGCTCTCCCCGCCCGAAGACGACGAAGAGGAGCGTTTCAATGGCTTCATCGGCGCGGCCAATGCGCAGCCAAACGCGGCAGAGGGGCATCTTAATGGCGCCGGCGTGCTGGCGACGACCAACTACCCGGCCGACGTTCCCGTCGCTCTGAGCGAAGATGAACAACGCTTCCTCGATGCAGAGCGTGAGCGACTCGACGAGGACGGCAACAACGACAACGGCGACGGAGGAGACTCGTTGCGGACCGCGCCGAGGGACCAGTACTGGACGCAGATCCAGGCGGGCAAGCGCGCCCTCGTCCATCTCTGGAACGACGAGCAGGGCCCGCGCGACACGGCCACCGACATCCGCATCGTCGCCGCGCGTCCCGGCGGGCACGACAAGTACGAGGGCATCCACGAGTTCCTCTGTCAATCGGGTTGCTTCACGTCAGTCGTCCGCGATGCGTCACCAGAGACGGCAGCGGCGGGGACAGCCACGGCCGACGTCGGGTCGTGGGCCGATCCGGACGTCTTTGAACTGGCACGCACGAGACCCGCCCTCGCCTATCGACCGCGCGAGGGCAGGCGCGGAGAGGGTGCGGGCGACTGGAGGGGTCAGGGCAGCTGGTGGACTGGCGAGCTGCCCCGCGTGCGATCCAAGAGGCCCCGGTGATGATGGCGTTGCAACGCGGCTATGTTACATGCGGTCGACTCCGAGCTACGACGACGCCGGCCCGAGGATCCGTCCCTCGATGTCGAAGTGCTCGTAGCGCGACGGCGTCACGAGCCACGCAGCAAATGGCGGGACGTCGGGTCGGGCCAAACCGTCCGCTTGTGGTGGCGCCGCGTCGCACTCCACGGAGACCTCTGCGGCCGCCGAGTGCCGCACGGGGATCCTGCGACTGGTGACAAACTCGGCGGCGAGCGACTCGAGCAACGCATCCCGCTTGTCGTTGCACCGGCCGCCCACCAGCAGCGCCTTTGCTTGGCGGTACGCGCGCACGCCGCCGTCGTCGAGGCGGTGCTTGGCGTCCAGGTAGGATCGGCCTGCCGCCGGCCCGAGGTCGGGACGCAGCCGAGCGAGGATCGACGTGGCCTCCCGGTAGTAGTCGAGCTTGCACACGCGCGACCTCGACGACGGCTTGAGCGGGTCACGAGGGGCTCGGTGCCGGGCCGGTGCGCCCATCCGAGTCCCTCCGACGAGGTTTTCGTACAAGCCCGCCGTGCCCGGCGCCGTCGGCGGCGAACAGAGGATCGATCCGGCGCACGGCACCGGCTCGCACTCGCTCCAAGAGCGCCCGGTCGACTGTCTCGCCATCTCTGCCCTCGTCCGCCGCTCCACCGACTCGCGAGAGTCCACAAAGGCAACCGACGTCCAGGCCACAGCTGGCGATGGAAGATCCGAAGCTCGCTCAAGCCGCAAGGAGATTGCGCGCTTGCACTCCGCGAGGAGGACGGCGCGAAACCGGCGGAACTGGTCGCCCTCGGACGGAAGGACCTGTCGCAGCGCCTCGTCGCCCATGATGATGGAGTGCGGGCGGATGGGCTCGAGGACCGCCGAGGCGAGCGAGCCCTGGATGCCGAGCTGGGCCCACAGGGCTAGCTTGTCGGAGCACGACATGCAGATCGACGGCGGCGAGTCTGGCCGGCCGGGCTTGGTGCGGAGCGTGGCGCTGCCTCCACCGCCAGCCGCTCTCCCGCGCGAGGGCGTCGAGGCGGTGGCGGGGCCCAACGACGCGACAGAGCCATCGGTGTCGCCGTGCCGCGCGCCGATGCCCTCAAAGCGGTCGAGGAGCTGCTCGGGCGTGATCGTACCTTGGACGCCCGCCTCTTGGTCCTGCTTTGCCTGCTGAAAGGCGAGCAGCTGCGACGAGGCATCGCCGCACGGCATGGCCGAGACGTACCAGTGGAGGCCGATGCCGTGCCGCAGCCGCCACCTTGCCGTCTTTGGACTCCGCTCAAAGATGGATGCCCAGAGACCGTAGTCGACGCTCGCCACGTCTGGTGCAGCGCCCGTGGCAGCGACCGGGGCCAGCTGCGCCGCATGCACCTCCTGGTCGAGCTTGGCGAGGAGCCACGTCCGCGCGCCCCTCCTCGCGAGCACCTCGGCGTGCGTGTCGTGGAGCACGTCGCCGTTGAGCGGCAGGCGGTCGTAGGGCAGGCATTTGAGGCCCGTTGCGATCGAGATGGCGAGAAAGTGGTGCTCGTGCTCGGCGGTGCAGCAGCGGGGCGAGCACGGCGGGCCGACGTCGTCGTCTGACCGACTAAGGACGAGACCGGCGAGGATGGTCCATTCCAGCCTGTCGCCGCCGTGCGCAGAGGCAGGCAGGCAGCGGTAGTGTCAGCATGACGGCAGCGGCGATGACAGAGTACCGAGGGGCGGGTGCGGGGATGGCGCGCTGCTCACCGCGAGTTTGTGCGACGGGCTGGCTTGGCGCCCTTTGCGGGCAGTGCGTGGTAGGCGGCGAGGCAGGCGGCTGCTACGTCGTCGTGAAAGCGCTGGCCCGGCGTGCATGGCTGGGTGCCATCTGCGGGCTGTGACTGGGGATGGCTGCTGCCACGGTGACTTGTGCTTCTCGACGAGGTGGCGGACGTGGCAACCATGCTGGTGGCAGGCGGGCAAGCCAGATAGACAAAGCCAGCCCAAAGGGTTGCGAGGAGCCGGGCGGGCCACAAGCGAGCAGGCGTTTCCAATTCCACGCAATTCTCAGATTTGCTTCGCCAAGTTTAGAATCCGACGTGCTGGCAGTTTCAGTTCCTCTGGCAGGATTTATCGAGAAACTGCTTTTCGAGCAGCAATGTTTCTAGGCTAGTGGCCCGGATGGACTACTGATCCGTGGCCGGTGCCTGCCCGTTGCCCCCATTGGATGTTTTTCGTCGATCTCGTTTTGGCATTCCAGGGCGCCTGGCGTGAAAAAGCTGCATCGAGCGAAACAGCCGGCCTTGAGGCCACCAACTTTTTTTTTGGATCCGCCAGCCTGGGCCCGTCTGCGCTGCGCCGCACTGCTGGCTGCGCCTGGTCTGCAGGCAGGCGTCACGCACAGCAGAACCCGGCGGCGGCGAGAGGTGGAGAGCAGGAAAGAAACGCAGATGATGGGATCGACAGCCAGCCGGGCTTGGCAGACAGGCAGGCGGGTCAGACCAGATGCGGACCCACGCCACGCTGCCTGGCGCGCTCTGACCCTGCTTTGCCCTGGCTTCCCGAAATACCTGCCTGCCTGCCTGCCTGCCCAGCCCAAGCCTCGCCTCACGTTCTTGGAGAAAGGAGCCAAAGAGGGGCTCCACGCGTCCCGGCGAGATGTGGGCCGCCTCGTCTGGGCTGGCTCCCTATGATACCCCTCGCTGGCCTTGGTGCTTCCTCCCGCTCCACCATCCTCCAACGCCACCCCTTGTCGTCCTGTGCCGCCCTTGGACAGCCTTCTATTATCCCCTCCTTATCTCCCACATAGACGCACGCACAGATCGCCATAGACCGGCGCGTGCACATCACCATTGGACACCATGGCAAACCAGAAATCGATACGGATCAAGGATGACGAGGCCAATGGTAGCCCCGCCAACGGCGACGCTGCCAACGGCGACGATAGCGAAGCACAGGGCAAGGCGACCGCGCAGCCTCGGCGCAGCATGACGGCCAGCCGGCGCGACCGCCGCTCGAAGCGCTCCTCGTCCAAGCATTCCCCCTCCGAGCCAGAAGAGAAGCCTGCCTTTGACGTCCTCATCTCGTGCCGCACCGCCGACCCCATCTCGGACGCCCACAGCCGCGACATCGACCAGCTGCCCTCTCACTGGCAGCCGACGTTCATTTCGAACCTCAGCCGCGCCGCCTCCCAGGGCCTCGGCGCCCTCAACCCGGATCAGCAGCAGGAGGAGCACCGCCGCTTCGAAGAGACCCACAAGCCCAGCGGCTCATGGAAGCGCCGCGTCTTTCGCCCGGCGCAGGAGCAGAGCCACACCGACAGCCTGCTCCCGCGCCTCGCCTTCAAGAACCCATGGGACAGCTTCCGCGCGCCCGGCATCGCAGACATGCTCAACGGCGGCTTGAAGTGGGGCCTGCCTGAGGGGTACCAGGAGGGCGGAAGCCACAACCGGGTGCTTGGCAACAAGCCGTCGGCCGCCAAAAAGGTGCGCAGGCAGCAGGGGCAGGGCATCCAGCATGGTCTCGACGAGGACTGGGACCACGTCGAGGTCAGGGAGCCCGACTGGGGCTGGCCCGGTCGCTTCGATGTCGCCAAAGCGGCGGCGGCGCCGAGCAACGACAAGGCCGGTGCAGGCGACAAGGATGATGCGGCGAACGGCACCGCCGAGCCCAACGGCGACGCTAGCAAAGGCCAGCCGTCCGCTGGCGGGGACTCGCCGACGTCGCCCGTTTCCGCGGAAGCGCCAAACGACGTCCCGGAATGGGTCGACCCGCAGAACGACAACGTGCCGGCGGCGCGCGTGACCTGGCTCGGGCATGCCACCACCCTACTACAGCTGCCGTCGCTAGGCCACGAAGACCCAGACCCGGAGCCAGAGCACGAGCCGGCGCACGCGGTCGAGGCCGACGCGCAGCCTGCAAACGGCGGAGAGGCCGACGAGACGCACAAAGACGAAGCCGATACCGACGCACCAGCGTCTGACAAGCCTGATGGCGAGCCGCCGGCCAAAGCTGGCAATGGCGACGTCGGCGGCGATGGCAACAGCAGGCGCCACAGTCACGGCCACAAACAGCGACCGCGCCGCATCCCCCGCGAGCGGATCGGCGACCGCAGCATCAACATCCTCTTCGACCCCGTCTTTTCGGAGCGCTGCTCGCCATCGCAGAGCGCGGGTCCGCAGCGGTACACGCCGGCGCCGTGCCAGGTCGACGAGCTGCCGCCCATCGACATCGTGTGCATCTCGCACTCGCACTACGACCACCTCGACTATCTCACCATGAAGGCGCTGCGGCAGCGGCGCGGGCGTAAGGTGCACGCCTTCGTCGGCCTCGGGCTCAAGGACAAGATTGTCGAGTTCGGATGGAGCCCGGAGCAGGTGAGCGAGCTCGACTGGTGGGACAGCGCGGTGCTGCAGGTGCACGAGCCGCAGGTGGCCAACGTGTTCAGCAACGCCTCGTCGACGACGGTGGCCACGACGGGCGTCGGCGGCGACGCGGCCGAGGCGGCGGCGGGCGTCGTCGAGAGCAAGCTCGTCTCCAAGATCCGCCAGGACCGCGCCAAACTGCGAATCGTATGCACGCCGGCGCAGCACGGGTCGGGGCGGGGCGGCGACAAGGACCAGACGCTGTGGTGCAGCTGGGTGGTCGAGTGGATGAGCGGCCGCCACGCGGCGCAGCCGTCGACCGAGGAGCGCATCCCTGCCACGTTCCGCGCCTTTTTCGCGGGCGACACGGGCCTCAAGTACCACCGCGACAGCGTCGAAAAGCGCCACAAGTACCCGCCGTGCCCGGCCTTTGAGCAGATTGCCACGCGCATCGGCCGGCCGGACCTGCTGCTGCTGCCCATCTCGGTCGGTTCCAGCCTGTCCTACTTTCGCAGCTGGGACCCCTTTCCGCGCAGCATCAGCCCGTTCCCGCGCGTCTCGGCGGCGCTCACGAGCAGCATTCATATGGACCCCTACGACGCCGTCGAGACGCACGAGATCATGCGGGGTGGCGGTGCTGCGGCTCGCGACGAGGCCAAGCAGCGCGGCCGGCGACTTCCCGTCAGCCTCGCAGTCCATGTGAGTAGGTCCGGCGACCCGCCCCGCGCCTGCAGAAAGCAGCAAGATCCGGACTGACCTCCAGTCTCCCCCGTGCTTCGAACTATGCGTCTCTGTCGCAGTACGGCACGTTCGTTCGCAACGCGCACCAGACTGCGGCCGACGTGCGGCAGCTGCTCAGCGCGTGCCAGCGCTCGCGGCTGGCTTTCCGACGCACGCGCGACGGCCGCTTCGACCTGTCGTCGACCAAGGCGAGCGACGGCGGCGAGGACGGCGAAAAGGGCATGTTTCTCGTGTCGCACCAGGGCGAGACGGTGTGGGTGCCGTTTGTGTGGGAGGAGCCGTGGACGGCCCCCGCCGCCGCTGCACCGCCACAGCAACCGCAACAGCAACAGCGACAGCAAGAGCAACAGCAACAGGAGCAGCAACAGGAGCAGCAGCAGCACAAGGAGTAGCGGTTGCAGACTCTCTTTCGATATACCCGGTTCGCCGACGACGGACGATATAGACAAAAGATGACCAGAGACGAAAAGCATATCGATACCCCCTCGACCTTGCCCCTTCGACCTTCGAACCCCTCGCTCACACCCGCTTGTCCTTGGGCGTGGACCTGCCGATACGCCAGATGCTAAACATCCGTCCGACGAGGAGGTCCTTGATCCAGACGGGGAGGTAGTAGGCGAGGAGGGCGGTAAAGGAGCGCTTGCCGGTGACGAGGTAGGCGCTCGGGTTGGGCCGGGTGACTGCCCTGCGCACGTTGCGGGCAAAGACGGCCGAGGGCGTGGGGCTGCCGAGCTGGGAAAAGTTGGCGCGGTACTCGATGAGGTCCTTTACGTCGCCGTAGAAGGAGTCGGCGGGGAAGTCGAGGTCCTTTGACCCGGCGTCGGCGATCGACGACTTGATGGCGCCCGGAGCGACGACGACGACCTTGACGCCGAAGCCGCGCAGCTCGAGGCGCAGCGCGTCCGAGAGGGCGTGGACGGCCGCCTTGGACGCCGAGTAGGTCGCGCCGAAGGGCAGAGCGGTGAGGCTGCGGTGGCATAGGGGCGGGGAGGAAAGGACAAGAGACAAGAGAGGAGCGGTGTCAGCAGTGGTCGAGTCGCCATCGGTGCTGCGACAAACCAGCGGATCGGTGCGCGGCCACGCACCCTGCCGTTGATCCGATGTTGACAATGACGCCGGAGCGTCGTCTGATCATGTACGGCGAGACGGCCTGGGTGACCATGATGAGGCCAAAGAACTGGGGTGGCCGGGACGGGAGAGCAAGGAGGCGGGGTTGCGAAGGTCAGCCAGATTAGGGACAGGACTGGACAAGGGGCAGCCGCTCCACCGCGGCAGGCGCTCACGTTTGGCTCAAAGGTCTTTCTGACCCGGTCGACATCGACATCGATGAGGGGCCCGACGGCGGTGTTTGTGCCGGCGTTGTTGATGAGGATGTCGATGCGTCCCCGTGTCTCGTTTGTGATGTTGGCGATGGCGCGGTCGATGCTGTCGCGGTCGGTGACGTCGAGCTGTACCCGCTCGATGCCCGAGGGGAGGTCGCGGATCGAGTCGAGGTTGCGCGCCGTGGCAAAGACGCGGTAGCCGGGCAGCGAGTCAAACTCGACGGCCATGGCCCGTCCCAGGCCCGACGAGCAGCCCGTGATGAGCACCACCTGCCGCGTATCGTTGAACGTCGAAATTGAGGTCATTTCGAGGTTGGATGGATGTTGCTGCCTGGACGGTTGAACGAGGGGGAGAGAAAGGATGGCGGCGAAGATGGTGGCGGCGGCTACGGCCAAGGCGAGGATGAGCGGGACCACATCTGAGGCTGCCCTCGCCCGCCTTGGCCTGTGCGGAGGGGCGGGTGCGGGTGCGGGTGCGGCTGCCAGGCCAGGCAGGCATATCGAATGCAGGCAGGCCAGGCGCGGCAGACGCGAAGAAGAAATTAAAGCGAGAGAGCCGAGCCACCCGGCCGCCCGGCGGGACCGCCTGCATCGGCCTCTTGTCGGAACCCGAGTGGCCGGTCAGGGAAAAGGGCGCCTTTGTCGTCTCGGGCGAGAAAATCCAAAACCCCAAATCTCGTCTGGCTCGGAAGTCGGACAGCGGGGTTCTGATTTTCGAGGCGGCCACGCCAAACTGGACAGGTTGGCTGGCTGGCTGGCTGGCTGGCTGCCTGCCCGCCTGTCTGCCTGCCTGCCCGGCCCGGCCAGGGAAAGCCTCGCTTCAGGGCCCTCTGATGTTGGAATCGACGTGGCGCGAATCTCGACGTAGATCCACCACTCAACAACGCCGACCCCTCCGCTCGCCGTCGTCGCTCTTGCCCTGTCGATCAATGCATCCACCCCCCTTCTCTCTCTTACTCTTCTTCTCCCTCCGTCGACGCTCCGCCCGTCCATTCGGCCACCCGCTCACCGCTTACGTCGATGCCCGTCGTCTATCGCCGCTTCAACCTTGCTGCGCGCGCTTAGCGGCCCTCGAACCATACACCGCCTGCTGCCCTCCCCTCCCCCACCTGCCCTACTCGAATTTTAAGCTCATCGCCACCGTAGATCTTCGTCCAATTCGCGCCCATCGCCCGTCGTCGTTGCTGTCTCTTTCTCGCCTGCCCCTCTGCCCCTCTGCCCCTCTGCCCCTCTGCCGCTCTGCCCCTCTGCCCGCCCCGGTGGCTCAGACATTCTGCAGCCCACCAAGGCGCCACGCCACGGCCAGAGACATCATCATCGGCCTCGGGCCCTCCGTATCGCTCGCTTACGGCGCAACCATCGTGGCCCGGCCATCGACAGCATGAGGCGCTCCACTTGCAGCCAGGCTTGCAGCAGGGCCTCGACTCATCGCCCACGCTTGCGACGCCAGTCGGAGCGCCATGCCGTCGTCCGTCGGATGCTAGACGATGCTTCGGCCCGCCGGACGCCCCCAGGCTGCGCTGCGCTGACGATCTCGCTCACACGGCCTGGTGCCCTCTGCTTTCCTCTCCTCAGCCCGACCGAACAGCCGTCCTGCTGCGCCGAGTTCCCTGCCTGTTTCTCCTCTTGCTGACCCTCCCCTCACCACCTCCTCGCTATCCTCTCCACCACCATCACTGCTTGCCAGTCTGATCGTCTTGACCATCCCTTTTCTTCCCCATCCCTTCCTTCCCAACGCCCCCTACACTCTTTCCATCCCTCCCTGCCCATACGTTCCCTTCGACCCGCTTCCTCTTGCACATACGCAGCCTCTCGCTCGCCCTGCTCACAGGCAGGCCACACGCTCTCTTCTCTCGGCACTGGACTCTTCGACCCGCGCATCACACGCTCCCTTCTCTCGATCGACACCGGCAACTCGACAACCATCAGCAGCAGCAGCAGCAGCAGCAGGTGCTGGGCCCCTCTGCGCTCTCTCGACCTCGACGGACCATCCACTACTACTCTCGTTTCCCTTCACCGACAAGCTTCTCGGTATCTTCGACCTTCGACCGGACACTTCATCGACTCGGCGCTCTCTCCTTCGGCATCCTTGTACATCTCAGCATCGGCAGCAGCCTTGCTTGGACTTGTCCTCGCCTCGAATCGATAGGTCCACGACCCGCCCAGATCGCTCAACAACAGCCGAGCTTCGATCCTGGCCGGCACTCCGCCTCGATTCGACGGTTGCGTTAGTGACCTCAGGCCCCCTTCTCCGCGAGCATCCGCAGACCGGCAGGACTCCTGCCAAGGATCGGGAGTAAGGGGATCTGTGCCATCGACCAACGACGGCGTCTTTGACCTCGACGGTCATCGCATATCTGTATCTCTCGACTCGATCTTTCTCGACTCCGATTCGGCTTCTTCGTCTCGTTTCCCATTACCCCATTTACCCCTTGCGAGGCGATGGCATCAAGCATACCATCCCACCTCGTCCACTCCGGCGGTGGCGGCGGCAGGCAACGCAGCAGCAACAGCTTCGGGTCTCTCAGCGGCAGCGGGAGCCGGAACGGCGGCCTGGGCAGCCGGCACGCTTCCCACGCCACGCTCAAGGAGGATGCCATCAACGATTGGCTCTCGACGAGCGACGCAGCGGCCATGCCCGATCGCATGCCGGCCACCCCGACGGGGCCCTGTGACATCGACACATTCATCGTCCACGACGAGCTCGGCGGAGGCGACTCTATCGGTCTCATGGACGACGTTGTCTCGCCCGCTGTGCGATGGAACGCCATCCTAGAAAGTGCTGGTGGTGGTGGCGGCGCGGATGATGGCTTCGCAAAGGGCTGGGGCGACGCCGATCTCGGTGAGTGCGACCGCTTTGTGGCTTAATCCTGACGTGGCGAAGGACCGAGAGGCTGACCAAAGATGACCCTTCCACCTCTTTGCGTTCCATTTTTTCCGCGCCCGACCAGAGTTCAAGGCCAGCACACTCATCGCCAACCTGCACGTCGACGACTTCTTCCACGACAACGCCTCGAGCGCGGGAAGCAGCTACGGTGGTGGCGTTGGCGTCGGCGCTGGCTGCCACGGCACGCTCAACCTGCCTGGCTGGAACAACGGCCCGAGCGACTTCCACCATGGCGCGCTGGACTCGGACGCCGACTCGCCCGACGGCGTGTGGTGTGCGCAGGGTCGGCTGCCGTCCCGCTCGCTGCGGCGTTCGGCCAAGCTCAACAGCATGATCAGCGTCGATGCGCTGCAGGAGAGCTATGGCTCGCCGGGCGCGGGCCTCGGACTGGTCGCGGTAAACAGCCCGTCGCCGCCGGCGAGCACGATGCAGCCCATGGCCGCGGTCCACGCCGTCTCGGCCTCGTCGCCGCTGCTGGCGCCGCCCCGCATGCTTCGGCAGTGCAGCTCGGCACCGCAGCTTCAGCGCGACGACGACGAGATGCTAGAGCCCGCGTCGTTCCTGGCCGGCCCACGCTTCTCGAACGAGAGCGGAACAGCGGCCGCCAGACCGGCGTCCCGCTTTACCACCGCGGCCGACCTGCTCGGCACCTCTGGCTCGATGTGCGCCGGCACCCAGAACCCAACCATCAGCATCAGCCTTGCCACGGCGTCCGGAGGCGGCGCTCAGCCGGGAAGCGGCAGCCAGCCCTCGGCCCTCTTCCAGCGTCGGGCTGTGCAGCGCGAGGGCCACATGCCTGCCCCTTCGCCCGTCAACGTCGACACGGCCCAGGCCCAATCCCAGAGTCAGACATCGTCGCTGGCCGCCGCCCAGGGCCAGGAGAACCAGGCCCAGTCGCAGGGCGAAGCTCAGACGCCCGCGTTCGACATCCCGTTGAGCGAGCTGACGGCGGCTGACCTGGAAAAGATGACCGAGGAGCAGCGGCTGAAGCTGGCGCAGCTCCACCAGCTCCACGTCGCCCAGCAGGCGGCGCGGCTGGGCGTCTACTCGGACTTTGTGGCGCCCAGCCAGCAGTTTGCGGGACAGGAGGCGAGCGAACGCGCCGCCAAGGCCGTCCAGGCGGCGCTCCTGTACGGCATGGAGGGCAACGGTCCGCGCCGTCTCAGCGTGGGTAGCACCGGACTCCCCACGCCCATCACGCCGCAGCACCCGCTCAACCCCGGCCCCGGCCAGCCTGGCTACGGGTTGGTCGGCCACCCTTACCTCTCCCAGTACGCCATGCCACAGCAGCACTATCGGATGGGCGGCAGCGCCGTCGGTGGACGCATGCCCGGCATGCCCATGTCGGCCATCGAGACCAGCTTCCCGCCGTCCATCTACTACCCGCAGCACTCGTATCACCACCACCAGCAGCAGCAGCAGCATCAGTCCATGTTTACGCCGCAGTACCTCCAGCAGCAGCAGCAACACCACCACCAGCAGCACGGCGGTGGTGTGTTCATGACGCAGCAGGTCTCGCAGGACATGGCCGGGTACACGTCGACCTACCCGCCTCCCCGCGAAGACGCGAGCATGCCGGCTGAGACCAGCACCGGAGCAACGACGGGCTCTGGCGGAAGAGCAGTCGGCAGCGACGTCTTCGAGCGGACCATGCCTCATTCGGCTCCCGGCGACCTTGCCTCGGAGATCGCGGCTAACCCGATGCAGCTGCAGATGCCATACACGATGCAGACGCAGCCGCATCAGCAGCAGTCACAGCCACAACAGCAGCAGCAGCAAGCGGCGGTCGAGGTCGGCGTGACACCCGTCGAGCTGCACCAGCCGGTGCCGCAACGGCCGCTGCTGACCCAGTACCACCACCAAGGCTCGATGTCCTTCCCTTCGTCGGACGCGCAGCCCCACCACTATCACCACCATCACCAACAACAATCGCAAGGACAGCAGCAGCAACAGCAGCCAAGCTTCCAGCAGATGTCGCAGATCGAACCTCGGTCCGCGCCTGCCGGAATCGAGTCAAGCCAGCTGTCAATGCAGCAGCAGCAGCAGCAACAGCACACCCTGCTGCTGCTCCAGCAGCAACAGAGGCAGCAGTCCGAGGAGCGAAGGCGGCAGCTGCAGAGCAAGGCGTCGATGCCGGCCATCACGAGCCGCAAGCACCAGCCCGCGCAGCTCTCGGCCCCGCTCAGTCCGCCGCGCTCGCCTACCAAGATGAAGAGCAGCCCCCAGCTGCGCGGATCAACCACCCCTCCCGCTGGCGGCGGCGGCGGCGGCGGTAGCAATGCTTCGTCGACGTCGAGCAAGTCGCCTTCGATCCGCAAGATTGCGTCCAACAAGCGCATCAACGCCGGCATCGGCGGTGGCGCGGGATCGTCGTCGTCGTCGTCGTCGGTGCCCGTAGCATCGGCGGGGGCGACGTCGACCAAGTCGCTGGGCAAGGCAAGGAGCATGATGCTCGACTCTTCGAGCGGCATCACAGCGGCCTCGCCCAGCCCTTCAGCCGCCTCGTCCTCGCGCCGCCTCCGCACCATGAGCCACGCCAGCCTCGCCTCGTCCTCGTCGAAAGGTGGCGGCGGCGGCGGCGGCAGCAGCTGGAAGTCCAAGAGCCCGACGCCGACGCCGGGAGGAGGCGGTAGCTTCAACTTTTCCTCGCTGAGCTTCGTCAACTACGGCATGGACGATGCCGACGAGCTGTGCTCGGCCGTGGCGCCTTCGGGATCGTACAAGGTGCCGCTCAAGGGGTACGGTAGCAGTGGAAGCGAGAGCCGGAGCGACGACGAAGACGACGACGAGACGGTGGCGGGCGGTGGCGATCGCGACGAGGTCGGCGGCGGCGGCGGTGACAGCCCCGTCAAGAAGGCCAGGACGGCCTCGAGCCGTTCGCGATCTAGGACGGTCTCGAGGGCGGAAAGCCTGGGCAACCTCCGGACCAAGAGGAGCCAGGCTGCCTTCCCCGCCGAGTTGAGGAATGATCCGAGGGTCAGGGAGAGGAGTGAGAGCGTCGCCAGTCGCAGGTGATGGAATGCGTCGAGATCGGACGAGGGCGACGAACACGCCGCACGAGGAGACAGGGAGAGCGAGGAGAGCACAGGTCGAGTCGAGTCTGCGAGTCGAGCAGTCCACCACCAGCACCCCTCCGGATCAGCAGCGACCTTCTTTCGACCCCGACACCCGCCCGACAACACAGCGACCAACCCGACAAGATCCGACCCACCCGATCGCCTTCAGCCCGGCCTCGTCTCCCCTCTCTTGCCGCGCGCTCGGGCCCGTGCGTCGCCCTCACTCGTCTGTCTGCCGCCGTCCCACGCTTCGCCTGTACCGTAGACGGATCTTTTTCCGTGTCGCTTCTCGCCTCTCTTCCCTCCATCCATCCTCATCCACCCACATGCGCGCGCTTCCACACACAATTCCACACCTTCGGCAGCAGTTGGATCTCCATCTTCCATTCGAGGAACCAGGGGGCTAGGCTAGGGGTGTCTACGGCTCAACGCAGGGGCTCGGCGACCTTGACGACCATCTTGCCCACATTCTTGCCGTCAAAGAGGTCGTTGAGCGCCTGCGGGCACAGCTGGAGCGCCTCCTTTGCCGACTTGGCGCCGTCGCCGATGACGTGGAACTTGCGCGCCAGCGAGCCGTCGGCGAGCCACTTGGAAATGTCGCGCTCGGCCTCGTGGTACCGCTTTGCGTAGTCGAACACGACTGATTAGAGGGAGATGGGGCGACGAGAGCAGGGGGGCAAAAGCAGGTGAGTAGAGGCGCGAAAGGGCAGCGTGATCCGGACATCCGTGGCGCGACCAAGGCGGGCTGGCACTCACTGAAGCCCTGCAGCTTGGCGCGCATCGCGATGAGCGTCTGGTAGTTCTTGAGACCCGTCGGCTTCGGGTTGTTGTAGTCTGCGGGCAGGCAAGTAGGACGAGTCGAGAGGCAGGATGAGAGCCTAGGTGAGTACCCAGTGCATCCATGACAGTTCGCCGCATCGTCGGGCCGCGCGGCCGGCCGGCCTGCTCACCGGCAATGGCGCCGCACAGGGCGATCCTGGCGCCCGGCTTGAGGCAGAGGAGCGTGAGGTCGAGCACCTCTCCGCCGACATTCTCAAAGACGACGTCGATGTAGCCGTACTTCTTCTGCGTCACCTCGCGGTACGTCTTCTTGAAGTCGGCGTGCTTGTAGTTGAGGGCTTCGTCGGCCTTGAGGCTCTCCTTGAGCCACTTGCACTTGTCGTCGGAGCCGGCGACGGCGATGACCTTGCAGCCCTTGAGCTTGGCCATCTGGACGACGAGCGAGCCGACGCTGCCGGCGGCGCCCGTGACGACGACGACGTCGTTGGCCTTGATGGCGCCGACGTCAAAGATGCCCCAGTAGGCCGTCTGGCCGCTGCTTCCCAGCGGGCCCAGGTAGTCGAGCAGCGTCGATCCGCCCGCCACCTGGCGCTTCTCGCACGCCTTGCCCGGAATGTGGGCGTACTCCTGCCATCCGAGCGTGCCGCTCACTTGGTCGCCCGGCTGCAGGCCGGGGAACTTGGACGCCACGACGGTGCCGACACCGCCGGCGCGCATCACCTCGCCGATCTGGACGGGGGGGATGTAGGAGCGGGCGTCGCGCAGCCAGCCACGCATGGCCGGGTCCAGCGCTGGCGGTCGGCGGCGAGAGAGAAGGAGACGAGTAGAAGCGCAAGATGACGACGGATCAGGTCAGGGATGCTATCGAGGATGCTGCTTCCAGTGCCAACGCCGCCTTGACCACTCACAGACATGCTCGACGCGGATGAGGACATGGCCGTCCTTGACCTCTGCGACCGAGGGGAGCTTCTCGGTGACGTACTCGAACGTCGAGTCGCCTTGGCCAAGGGTCGAGATGACGCGGGCCTCTGGGCGCTGGCGGAGGACGATCTTGCTCTGCGATGCGGGGATGGAGAACGACATTTTGGCGAAGCGGTGAGGGACAGTGGGGTGTATATGCCTGGTTGTGATGGTGTTGGTGGTGGTGGTCGGGGAGAGGGATCGCAAGAGGTAAGGCTCTTCTTGTAGGGCATCTGTGGGCCGGCGACACGGGACGGTCGGAGGGGCAGAAGATTGCTGCAGTCCGGGTACCGATGGGCGCCGCTACCGGCCCGGCTTCGAACAAAGCTGCCGGGCCCTCGCCAAGAGCTCGGGAGACGGGGTTAGGGCAACCAGACTCCGGCGGAGCAGCCCCCAAGAGCCAGTTGTTGGTCGGGCTGGTTTGGTTGGCCCGCCCGCGTGCCTGTGGGTCTGCCAAAGCTGCAGCCAGCCAGCCAGCCAGCCAGCCAGAGGCAGAGGCAGGGTGTTGGTCTGGGACGCTCCACCATCATCCTTCGCTTTCCTTCCGCGCCGCGCCTCCTCCCCCTCCTCACCTTTGCTCGGCACCTCGACGATGGCATCGACAGCGGCGGCTTCGTCTTCGGATCTACCGACGCTCCTGTCGGGCGGATCGCACCAGCGCGGCACCCATCCGAACCACGATCGGTCCCTCCGGAAGGCGTCTTCGGGCAGCAGCCGACCGCCGCTCCATCCGGCCAGCGGCAGCGGTGCGGGCGCATCCGGGTCATCGTCGGCCGCCGTCAAGCGTCACTCGCTGTTTGGCACAGAGGACCGCATCGTGCTCGACATTGGCTCGCGCGTCTCCAAGTTTGGCTTCAGCGGCGAGGAAAAGCCGCGCGCCATCGTCGACTCGGTGCCCCTCTCGCTGCCCTCGACGTCGCGCACCGCACTCGCCGAAACCGACGCCCTGTGGGACCAGGACGTGGAAATGGCCCAGAGCGAGCAGCTGCGCAAGCACGCACACGCCCTCCTCGTCGCCCGCCTCACCCACCTCGTCCGCACCGCCTTCTTCCACCACCTCATGGTCGAGCCAAAGCAGCGCAACGTCCTCGTCATCGAAAACGCCTCCATGCCCGCCATCGTCAAGCAGCTCCTCTGCAAGGTGCTCCTCTCCAACCTCCAGGTACCCTCGGTCTCCTTCGTCCCTTCGCACCTCATGGCTCTCGTCGCTGCCGGCAGCACCACCGGCCTCGTCATCGAGTGCGGATACCTCGAGACGTCCGTCATGCCCATCTACTACGGCAGGCCGATGTCGTCCTCCCTCCGCTCCACGACCAGGGCTGGACGCGCGCTCAATCGCCGCCTGCGTGGTCTCCTGCTCCACCACGCCAAGTTTCTGCCCGCACACACTGCCGCCCCGACAGCGGCATCGCGGCAAAAGGCCGCAGACGTCCCACGTGCACTCCTTACCGACGACCTGCTCGAACACATCAAGGCAAAGGCGCTCATTGTCGGGCCATACGACGCGGATCTGGACCGCATCAGTCAGACACAGAAGGGAACTGCGGCAGGGGATTCTGAAGCGTCAATGGCGGCTCCTTCGTCGGCGCAATCCGCTGCAGACGCTGCTATCGGAGGACTTCCGGCTTCCAGCTCCGCCACGCAGTCTTCAACCAACCCCTTTGCAGATGTGGATGGGTCTGCGGAAGGAGCAGCGTCGGCGGCAGCGGCAGCGGCAGCGGCAGCGGCGGCGACAGCGACCACGGCCTCGACCACACCCTCGCTCAACCGTCTCTACCGTGATTTGAAGCTGTACGACGAGTCCGACGACGAGCCCAAGATGCGGGCACTCAAGGCTGCCTACCGGCGATCTACCAAGGCCACGCCGATCGCCGTGGCTCTGCCACCGCGCCCTGCCTCAGGCCCATCCGCATCGCCGGCGTCGTCCTCAAGCTTCCACACAGCTGACCCCTCGCTTGCTCCCGGCGGCAGCCTCATCATCCCGGGCTGGATCCGCGATCGTGCCGCCGAGGTGCTTTTCGAGTCGGCCGACGACGAGGACGAGGAGGCGGGCCCGAGCATCGTCGAGCTGACCGTCGACGTCATTCGCCGCCTGCCCATCGACCTGCGCAAGACAATGTGCGAGTCGATCCTCGTCATTGGCGGCACCGCCATGATGCCCGGCATGGTCAACCGCTTCCGCGTCCAGCTGGAAGCCGCCCTCAAGCAGCACGAGACGAGCAGGACGTACGAGAGGCTCCACCGCCATCGTCGTGGCGCCGGCGCTGGGGTCGTACCATCGCCGCGGAGCAACAGCGGCGTCGAGGCTGCCGCAGAACAGCAGGAAACCGCCACGGCAGCCCACAACGACGCGGGACTGCTATACCAACGCATCGCCGTCCTCAACGATCCTTGGCCTCGGATATCGCCAGATACCGGCAGGCCGCAGGGCGGCACGGCACCTGCCTTCGCGGCCAATCTGCTTCCGTTTGTCGGCACCTCGCTGCTGGGCGAGCTCAAGACGGCGCCGCTCTCGGAGATTACGCGCGAGGCGTACGAAGAGGCGCTGGCGGTGGCAGAGAAGCTGCGAAAGGCGACAACGGGCGAGAGCAGCGGTGTACCGCCCCAGCAGGCCGGCGGTGGTGGCAGCAGCGTGACGAGGCCGATGCTGGGACCGGGCAATCGCGGCTCGTTTGTCGGCGTCGTGGGTGGTCTCGAGACGGGGGCGTTTGGCGCCCTCGCTGCGGTGAGCAGGCATCTCCTCATCGGCGGTCATCAGGCCAGGTTGACCCAGGCGGACGGTACCGCCGCCGGTGGTGGTGGTGGTGGCGCTGGTGGTGGCCACGAGAGGGGCGCGGCTCCACAGCCACAGCAGCTTCGCTCGCCGACGGGTCTGGCGCCGCTGCGCTCGCCGCCTCTGCCGTAAGGCACCAACCAGGACTGTGACACTATACTCCGCCCGCACCGCTCGCACGCACGCACGCACATCGAAGAGACGCGAAGAAGATCAGAGGATTCCAAGCCGGAGACATGCTCGTCAAGAAGAACGGCGAAGACGAGGAGCTCGAGGAGCACCACGTCGAGTTTGACCAACGCCGAGCCGGAGGGTCCGCTTTCGTTGTCACGGTCGACCTAACGAGCCAAGTTCGACGTCTGGATCGAACCACTCGCTCGAGGGTGGCAGTTTGTGGACGTATCGGTTCCAGGGCTGTCAGGCCTACGTCGAGCGTCTGTCGAAGGCGGGAAGACGCCCCCGACGATGGCGGTGCTCTCGAAGCCTGTCCGAAGTCGGCTGGCGTCGCTGCCGCTGATGGTGAATGACCGACGTCGCTTGAGACAGCAGAAGACGGTGCTTCGAGGGGAGCCCTTCTCTCCATCTCATAGGCGCCCCAACGACTTTGTCTGCCCCATCAATCCAGCCCATCTCTCCGCCCGATCGAAGGGCACTCGCCGTCTACTCAGCCCGGCTAGCCGTCGACGTCCATGTCCTCACCAACGCCCTCTTCAGCCCGCCTTGCTCCATCTTCCTTCTTCTCTCCGCCCTCGGGACTCGCCTCGTCGAAAATCTCTTTCCTTTTGCGCGCCATCTTGTCTTTGACGGCGCGGAGCCTGTCTTCGAGCCGGTCGCGCTCGCGATCCCACGCATCGTCGGCCTTGTCGATCTCGTCGTCGACCTTTTCCTCCTGCTCGTCGAGCACGTCGTCCTGCGACGGCAGCAGCTTGTAGGGGAGAAAGTAGAGCGGGTAGTCGCCCCCCTGGTTCGCCGAACGCGAGATCGGAGGCAGCGTCGACGGAATGTGCGGGGCGATGCGATCCGGCGCACCCTCGTCTTGCTGCTTGGCCCCGCGATCCCTCCTGGCTGGCCCGACAGAAGCAACGGCGGCGGCTGCGGCGGCCGAGGAGGAGGAGACGGATCCGCGCCGGCGGTAGCGTGGCACGTCGGACTCGACGAGACCGGGCGTCCAGAGGAACGAGGCCATCCTCCTCTTTTGCGCGCGCCGCGTCCGGTGCTCGGCTTCGCGCAGCGCAATCGTCTCGGCCAGCCTCTTGGCCTCGCCCACGTACGCCCGCAGCTCCGTCTCGAGCCGTTGCTTGACCGTGATCTCGTGCGACTCGCGCCGCAGCTTCTCCTGCAGCCGTGCTTCCAGCGACGCTCGACGTTGCGCCTGTCGCAGCAGAGAAGCGGAGGGGCAGCAAGGTGGCAGGGCAAAGCGGGGAAAGGTGTACAAGTCGATGAAGATGATCAGCGGCCCGAACACGGCGGCCCGAGCGAGCCCGGTGTCACTAAGCGACAACACGGGCGACAACACAGCGATCGACTCACAGCAGTTCCCGTCTTTTGCCTCTCGGCATCTGTCTTGAACTTGGTCAGCGTCGAGTTGAGCAGTCCAAACATCCTCGCCCCCCTCGTCTTCGCATCGGGGTCCTCCCTCCTCGCCCTCTTGCGAGCCGGATCAGCCGCCTCGCTCGGCTGCGATGACGACAATTCCGCCGTCGTAGCGGCAGCGGCCGATTTCGGCTCGGTATGATGCTGCTGCGAGTCGACGGTGCCGCGGGAAGCCGAAGCGGCGGATCGACCTGGACGCTCGTCGCGCCGCCGCTGGGCGTCTTGCACCTCTTCCGCTTCCGGCTCCTCGAGGATGGGCGACGATGGTCGCGCTCTTCGACGGCGGTTCGGAGAAGGCGCATCTTTCGGGCCACTGGCGTCGAGCCTGAGCGAAGACGAAGAAGCCTGCGTGCTCATCTCCTTGATGCTGCTGGGATGGCTCGGCAGTGTCCGTGCTGGCGTTGTCGCCGGTAGATTTGGAGGGGTGTCGTAGGGATGAGCAGGCGCGGAGTCGGCGATCGACGAGAGGATGAGCTTCGAGAGCGTGAGTGCGGGCGAAGAGCGATCAGAGCACGGCCGCCGTCGTGGTGGGTGGATGGTGATGGGCGAGAAGAAAGGCGCGACGACGGAAGCTCGGACACGGCGGGCGCCCCGAAAAAGCTGGCAGGCCATGTGGAGTCGGTCCGGGAATCGCGTGGCAGACGTCCGCCAACACGTCGCTCGCCCAGCAGCAACCACTCGACGGCCCACTTTTGCCCACATGGGCAAGCAGGCACCCCCTGAGCCTTGCATCGAGGCTCTCCAAGCATCAACCTGGCCTAGCATCCTCCTGAACAAGACGGCGGCTCAGTCCTTGGCTTCGGCTGGGGTGTTGACGAGAGCTGCCCCAACATCCCAAAGGTTTGGGTGAGGAGCACGCACAAGGCGCCGCTCCGGAGAGTTGCCGATCCCAGGATTCAAGAGCTCTGTCTGCTGCCGCGGATGCGTTCCGACTGGCTCATCTCGTCGTCGTCTGCGGATTCAACCCGGCTGGCAACACTCAGCCGTCCAGCAGCGGCTATGCCGACCTTTCGGGGGTCCGCAAAGGTCGACGCAGAGGGTCTAGCCGGCCAAGAGGGCTAGGGCGGTAGAGCCGATTGAGGACGACGTCCTCAAGCAGGTTCAGCTCGACTACGACCAGCTCCAGAGCAGCTCAAAGACGACGGCAACCCGCTGTGCAGCCGCATCGGATGAGCAGCTCCATCCCCTTTCTACGCGCGTCTGCGATCCCAGCCCAAGCCTGGCTTCCATTCGGACAGTCCCGCCACCACAGTCTCAGCACACAAGAGGCCGCCGATCGAAGAGGCTCGCGACTCGCGCGCAGCCATCTCCAGGCCCATCGCAGTTTGCGCCCTTGCCTTCGCCTCAAGAACGGGCCTCGACGCCGGCGGTGGCCTGCCTCGTCCCCAAGAAATCGACCAAAGTGAGCTGGCTGCACCGCCCGAGCCGGCCGAACAGCAGGGTCTCCATGACGACGGCGAAGAAGGCATCAAGGTGAGGCGGGCACGCAACGAATATGAAGCTTGCGGCGGGACCGCTGTGAGACCGCATGCTCATCCTCTGCTCCCTCCCGCCTCGCTCCGCCTCCTCGCAACAAACAGAGTGTAGTGACATCGTCGCGGCCGAGGGGAGGCTCGGCCGTATCAAGCGCGGGTGTGGCGACGAGGGGTACGACCCGAGCAACCTGGTTGACCTCACCGGCGACGACTCCTGACCGACTAGGCTGAAATCAAGGAGCACTCGCAAAGACATCCACAGGGATGGCATCGACAAACTTGTAGCAGCATACAGGTCGAGATTGGCCCAGAGAGAAGGGCGACGAGCCCGCATCGATCGAGACACATGCGTGGGCGGCCGCGGCGAGGGCGAGCACAGACTGGGCCTGGACGCCCGCTTTCCCTGTCTTGCGGCGGGCGCACATGCAGCAGCGGCCGTCTCTGAAGCAGGCAGAGCAGGCAGGCGCAGGTAGGCTGGGCTCACGGCGGGGCAGGCCCGCTTCCGCTCTCTATTTTTGGGGCTGAACCTGGCCTTCCCTCCTGCCACCACCTTCCGGCACACAGACCCAGCCACTCGAGCAAGCTTCGACCATCTCGGCCACCACCTTCGTCACCACCGGCACATTGACCTCGCCAAGACACACAGGAACCCGCCACCCTTGCGTCCTGGCATCGCCAGCAGCCTTGCCCTTCCCTCCGTGGCGCTGTCCACGGCGCATACAATCTGGCCCAGTCGACGATCTCTGCCCAACACCATCACCATCCGAGGCGGCACGGCACGATGCACCTCGCCGGTATCACCACGAGCATCGAGCTGCTCACCAAGAACGGCAAGGAGACCCTCGAGGAGTCTCTTGTGACGGAGAACGAGGAACAGGTGTGCGCTTTTGCTCGCATCTGCTCTGTGAGAAGCGTGCCCTTCCAGATCAAGCTTGACCGCGGCGCCGGACCGAGCAGCGCCAAGGACTTCGCCGTCCGGCTCAAGCTGGATGACAAGGAGGTCCGATCGGAGACGCTCTGGAGGAGCAACGAGCGCGTGCTGACCATTCGCGGCGTCAGGGTGTCGCCCGACAAGATGGCGTCTATGGTGTAGGTGGTCCTTCACTCACGTTCGTCCGCTGGTGCTAGGCTGAAACCAGCAGCGATCTTGTTTTCCATCTCGCCTACACTAGCTTCCTGCCCGTCGGGCTCTCCAAGGAGGAGACGATCCAGAACAGCCAGAGGGAGGAAGGCAACACCATCGAGATCCTGGTCTACCATGTCGAGAACATTCGCGAGCACCCGGCTCTCCCGGGCTTTTCCTTCATCCCGGCCAAGCGCAAGAGGCTGCCTTTCACGCACAAGATCGGGTGAGTCGCTCCGGACTGCCGTTGCAGGTTCAGTGGGGCTTGCCGCTGACTGGGTGCTATCCGCAGCCTCGGGGAGGAGTGGACGCCCGAAGAGGGCCCGACATACCTTTACGACACGGTGTTCTGCGGCCACTACGAGTTTCTCGCGGAGTTCACGTACACCTACGGCCCTCGCAAGGCCCCGACGGCTGCAGCACTGGCCTATGAAGCCCTCAAGGCCGGCGCTTTGCAGAAGGAGCAGGCGCAGAAAAGCAAGTCTGTCGATGACCTCAAGGTGAGGCGATCTGCTCGTCTAGACAGATCGGCGCAGCCCAATCATGCGACAATGCTGACGAGCTCAAGGCGCTCTCCTTTGCGACGTGCCTGCGGTACAGCGCAAGGTGGCCAGCCTCGAGAAGCAGCTGGCGCAGATGCAGCGAGACAAGGCTGCCGATGCCAGCAAGTTCGGTCCGATCCCTGCCATTCCGAACTTCAAAAAGGACAAGGGCGCCGATGCCGCTCCGAGCAGCAGCAGCGCCGACGGCATCGACTGGGTCAAGCTCGACCTGTGAGAAAGGTGAGTCGGGGAAGGCTCAGCTTCCGATGCCCCAGATGACTCGCTCATCTCTCCCGACTCGCTCGAACCTGCTTGAGCAGCCAGCGGATGCAGCGGTGTCCCAATCCTCTGAAGCTGGACAAGCATAGTGGCCGCTCCCAACATCCTCAGGCGACGTCGTCCACCAATCCCAGACTTTGACAGCCCACCCCGGCGTATAGGACAGGACGGATCCTTAAGCGTCCGCATCGGCTCCTTCTAAATCCACACCAGCACCGTTCCGACGCCAAGATACAAACAAGCAAGACACCGTCAGCAGCCGCCAAGCTCGAGGCGCCCTGAGGTCCCCTCCGATCAGACACGATGATTATTCGACTGCCGCTGCAATCGATCCAGAGCGCGTCTCTCACGTTGTGCTGTGCAGGGGAGGCGTGCAGGGGCCATGACAGAGAGGATCGCTCCTCGTCCGCTTGCGCTTGATGGTACGGCTCGTCGCGTCCTCCGGCGACACACCGCTCGCATGCAGAGCCGAGGAACAGCATCGTTGCGTCGTGTGAGGAGAGCGGCCACGGCCATCCCCTGGGTCGAGACGCAGGCACGCCGCGTAGCGACACGAAGGGTCCGCCACCGTAGCAGCAGCGTAATCAGGCCAGGATGGAGCGCAGCGAGACGGGCCCCGCCTGGTCTTGCGTGGATATCGGGCAGGGGCGACGGACGGGAGGCGGCACCGCCACAGGGCAGACCAGCAGCAGTGACGACGTGGTTCTCCGACCTCATCCCGATCCCACCTCGTCGTTCAGACCTCCCTCGGGCTCGCAGATATCGGGCGCGAGGAGCCATCGAGCCGCTGCGACCATGTCGCGGGCTTGCGAGGTCTCCGGACGCAAGCCCGACTTCGCCACCGCGCTCTGTGGCTCGCCTCTCCTCGCCATGCTGCGAGGGGACGCTACCACACTCTCGCCTGCCTGCTTTGTCTGGTGCGATCAGAGGGCTGATGCAACGAGGCTGCAGCAGAGGTCGAGAAGATGCGGCAGAGGCACGAGGACGCATCACGCCGTGTGACGACGGGATCGGGCCGATACCGAAGCGACAGGCTGCTTGCCTTTCCAGGCGGCCGGGCTGGACCGAGACGCGGCACATACGGGGCGTCGAGCAGGCTGTTCGAAAGGCCAGGAGCTGGCAGCGCAGAGGCTGGGCCAGAGCCGGGGCAGGCCAAGCTCGGCGGCTGACCGGACGAGGTCCAGAGGACCGTGCGCCCAGCCAGCCTCGATTTTCACGCCTGAACCAGGGCCTTGACGCGTCCCGCGGCGCAGCGGAGCCAGGCTGAAGCAGAGGCCGAGGCTAGCTCGATTCGTGGCTCCTTCCCTGCCGCCACCATCGTCCCGGCATTCATCCCCTTTCGACACCCTCTAGCCCCATACCGCCTGGGCGCGGTCAACCCTCGTCAGCCTTCACGCCGCTCACGGCGCAACAGCTACAGCCACCGAGCATCGCCATCTAGGACGACCTGCCCACCATGCAGCTGGCCGGAGTCAAGATCAGCATCGAACTCTGCAAGGACGGCGAAGAAGAGGAGGAGGAGAAGACGCTCGAGGAGTTCGAGGTCGAGGTGGACGAGGTCGAGTCGTGCGGCTCGGCGTACATCTGCTCCGTGGACGACGCACAGTTCCAGATCAAGCTCGAGCGAGACGACACCCCGGAGGGCCGCAGGGACTTTCGCGTCAAATTGACCCTCGATGGACAGGAAGTCAAAAGGGGCATGACCTGGTCGAAGGAACGTCCCGAAGTGCGCTACAGCTCCGTGACACTGTCCTCTGAAGAAGTCGCGCCGCTGAAGTGAGTGCTGGTTCGGACGAGCCACTCATGACTGGAGGTGGATGCCTTGCCATTCTGACCTGTAGGGCAACTCGCTGTCCGAGGGCCCAGGTTCTTGCGCATCGGCGCTTCCGAGCAGGACGCTGCTGGAGAGGGCGATAGCGTCGAGCAAGCCGGCACCATCGAAATCCGCGTGTGGCATGCCAGGAAGATCAGGAAGAAGCCTGACTGTGGCGGCGGCTTTGGCTTCGAGGAAGCCAACGTGGGCGACGAGGCACTCAAGCAGAGGAAGCTCGAGGGTGGCGTGCCACTGACCCATCGCATCAGGTAAGTGTCCACCGAGACCGATCATCTTGCTCGAACTCTGGCTGACCGCGTGGTGGACTGCAGCCTTGGAGAGGCAAAGCCTGCAACCCGTCGCTCCACCACCTGTGATCTCGTCGGCAACGACCCCATCGCCACGTTCATCTATTCGTACGCATCCAGGAGCGTCCTCGAGGCCATGGACGTCGTGCCCTCGGCAGCCGTTGACGAGGCCATTGAAGGGGGCGGTGTGCCGGCTGAAGAGTCCAACGAGGAGCTGCGGGTGAGGATCCTATCTCTCCGGTATCACTCAAAGCAAGATTGGGCCGGTGGCGATGTCTGACGCCGCAGCCCGCTCGCCTTTCTCTCATGTCTCGAATGCAGAGGAGGGTGGCGGACCTGGAAAGGCAGCTGACCCAGGTCAAGCGCGAGAAGTCGATCGACATCAGCGGCGACACTGGACCCATCGACCTCACCCTCGACAGCGACGAAGAGCCGCAGGCCGGTCCGAGCCGTAGCGGACCGACGGACAAGCCCAACTCGCCAAAGAGGGTCAAGCTCGATCCCGAACGGGCGTAAGTCGAGTGGACGCAGGGATGGATGGGGCTGCGATGGCAGACATGAGAGGACTGAGCCGCCGACACCATGCTTCCTCTCCGCCGCAGCGAGCGCACCGACGACGTCGAGTCTTCCCTCGACTAGCCACCTGCCGTAGCGTGTCGGAGCTCACGACGCCGTCAGGACGGGGGAGGTACGCAAGCCTATCCTCATCGCGGCGCATCAAGCACAGCAAGCAGCCCGTCGTCGGTGGCGCAACAGTCCCTCGTCCGCAAGTCTTATTTCAGGACGGCAAACGCTCACGGCAGCCCCGCCGGAGCAGCCAACATGGCCAATCCCGTCGAAGCCATAGCAGACGACGCGCACGCATCATCCCGGTCCGCACATCTGGTGCTCAGCGCAAGCATCTCACTCATCGCCTCTCCGAATCGCAGCTTGCAATCAAACCGATGCTCGTGCCGCCCGCTTCTCGAGCCGGGATCCTGCGCGAGAGGCACGAGCACGAAGAAGCGTGTTGGTGTCTGTCGTTCAGCCCCAGCTCGTCGGACGTCTCCAAGAAGTACCGAGTATCAGCCCGCGCTCCTGCCTGATAGAGACGGGCTGATGTTGAAGTCGAGTACTGAGGCGCCGCTTCGACGGCGGATGCATTCGGGTCGAGCGCCTGACCGCGTCTCGCCGCTCCCCCTATGCTGCCTTGCCATCAACCGAGCCGCCATGCCACGAACGTCTCCAAGACCAGCGTCCTCGCCGACAGGCGGCCGCTCCGAGGGGAGTCATGAGCTCCGACAGCGCCACTCGGGCCGCTCAACCTCCTGCCGTCATTCGCAAACCCATCCCTCGACTTGGTCTGACCACATCTGCGCCCGGCGTGCATGCAGCTGACGTGTCCACGTCGTCGAGCTCGAGGCGGCTGCTGGCCCCGCTCTTGTTGGACCATCGATGGCATGCACTGCCCACCTCTGACGCCATGCTCACGACGAAGTCTCGGATCGAAGAGGACAGAGAATCGAGCTCGCGCGACGATGCCTGGCAGGCCAAGGCGAGAGCGGCCTCGGGGCGGATCCGAGTCCCGCCGACGACGACGCGCGTCGCGTCACGCTCGAGTGGGCCGACCCCCAGCCTGCCTGCCGGCCTGCCTGTTGTTCTCTGCCCTGCGCCTGTGTGATTTCATCGAAGCGGGGCGTGGCTGCGCTGCACTTTTGTGATCTTGAAGCGAGGAGGACCGGGCATCGAGGCCGCGCGCCCTCGCTCGGTCTGGCCGACGCTCGAGCCAAGGAGGGAGGAGGGCGGGCCTTGAATTTTGGATTCGAGGCTGGCCAGCCGGCTGGCTGGTCGCCGTCGTTTGGTCGGTCGAGCCTCTCTGGCCCTCTGCCTGCCTGCCTGCCCCCCTTCTTGTGTTCTGCAGAATTTTCTGGCCGCGGGAAAGAGCAACACCCACACCGGCCTCTCAGCGCTCCATTACGGATTACTGGCGAGCGAATACAGAATTGCGTCGGAAGCTGTATTGAATCCCTGCCTGCTCTGCCAGGGACGGCTGGCCGAATTCAAAAATCCAGGCATCCACATTCCAGACCAACACTTTTTCGGCCCTCACCTGGGCTCGCCCTCTGGGGTTTGCGCCTGCCCACCTGCCCTGGCGTGGCCCCGAGCGCGCGCGCACACCCACCGCACGCACGCACGCACGCACGCACGCACGCACGCACCTCCCGAGTGCCTGGCTCTGAGCAGCGGCGGCGACGACGGTGGCCTGAAAAAATGGGCAGGCCAGGCAGGCCTGGCAGCCACGGCCAGCAGGCCCGAGCCCAGGGCAAGCGCCAGGGCCAGGGCGACGACCGACCGTCCGAGCCAGCCAGCCAGCCAGCCAGCCAGCCCAGAGGCCTGCCTGCGTGTTGGTTTGTCGGTTTGCGCTCGCTCGCCCGCCCACTCGCCCGCCCGCTCGCCCTCCGACACACAAGCAAGAGAGAGGGACAGAGTCTTCTGCGTGCGTGCGTGCCCCGGCCACCCAACCATCCTGCCCCTCATCCACTCCTCTCCTCCATTCCCCACCCTAGACCCTCGACGCCACCACCACCGCCGACACCGACACCCCCTTCAACCGCCAACCGACACCAGACCCCAACCCACCGACGACCTCCGACCTCGTCGACCTTCCCGGTAGGTCTCGTCGCGATCTTCGAGGCGACCTGGGGCTGGCGGTCGTGGACAGCGGCGCCGCGCGCTTCCATCCGCAGGCGAGGCGAACAACGGCGACCAGCCAGAGCGACGCCTTGGTGCAACGTCAGCCGCCGTTTCCCGCTGGGCGATGGCTCCTGATCCCGTCTGCTGCCGCTGTCCATCTGGCACAGTCCGTCGGCGGGATAGGCCCTTTGTGGCGCACCGTTCCCCTCTGGTCGACGAAAGAAGCGCCTCCAACTGACACGTCCCCACCTCCATCCCTATCACCCTCTCTCTATCCCGTGGCGCTCAGAACCCTACTACTTCCCGACTAATCTAACCCCCCTTCGACTTCCGCCAACATGAGAGAGATCGGTGCGTCGACGGGATCAAATCTGCCAGGCGGACTGTAGGGATGGCCGGACGTGCGCGCTGACACTGGCTCGCTCCCTTTGACGCCGCTACCTCGCCCGCAGTTCACCTGCAGACCGGTCAGTGTGGTAACCAGGTCGGTACCAAGTTCTGGGAGGTCCTCTCCGACGAGCACGGCATCGACAGCAACGGCAACTACCACGGCAACACCGACGACCAGCTCGCCAGGATCAATGTCTACTTCAACGAGGCCGCCGCCAACAAGTATGTGCCCCGTGCCGTCCTGGTCGACCTCGAGCCCGGCACCATGGACTCGACCCGCTCGGGACCCCTCGGCGGCCTCTTCCGCCCCGACAACTTTGTCTTTGGCCAGAGCGGCGCCGGTAACAACTGGGCCAAGGGTCATTACACTGAGGGTGAGTAGGACGGCGGTGGCGCTGCAGCCCTAGCTTGGAGATGGAGCTGGGGCCGTGGCAGAATCAGACGAGCGTGCAGGAGCGGAGAGAAGGGACGGGAGAGAGGGCGAGAGAGGGCGAGAGAGGCGAGAGAGGCGACGCGACATGCTGACCCGACCATCCTCCCCCATTCTGCGCCTCGCGCCACCGCAGGTGCCGAGCTGGTCGACAGCGTCCTCGACGTCGTCCGCAAGGAGGCCGAGAACTGCGACATGCTGCAGGGCTTCCAGATCACCCACTCGCTCGGCGGTGGTACCGGCGCCGGCATGGGCACCCTGCTGATCTCCAAGATCCGCGAGGAGTACCCGGACCGCATGATGGCCACCTTCTCCGTCTTCCCCTCGCCCAAGGTGTCGGACACGGTCGTCGAGCCCTACAACGCCACCCTCTCGGTCCACCAGCTCGTCGAAAACTCGGACGAGACCTTCTGCATCGACAACGAGGCCCTCTACAACATCTGCTTCAAGACGCTCAAGCTCAACGCGCCCACGTACGGCGACCTCAACCACCTCGTGTCGCTCGTCATGTCGGGTGTCACGACCTGCCTGCGCTTCCCCGGCCAGCTCAACTCGGACCTGCGCAAGCTGGCCGTCAACATGGTGCCCTTCCCGCGTCTCCATTTCTTCATGGTCGGCTTCTCGCCGCTGACGGCGCGCGGCTCGCAGTCGTACCGCGCCGTGACGATCCCCGAGATCACCCAGCAGGCGTTTGACAGCAAGAACATGATGACGGCGTGCGACGCCCGCCTGGGCCGCTACCTCACCTGCGCCGCCTACTTCCGCGGCAAGGTGTCGATGAAGGACGTCGAGGACCAGATGCAGAACTTCCAGCAGAAGCACTCGACCCAGTTTGTCGAGTGGATCCCCAACAACGTCCAGACGGCCCAGTGCGACATCCCGCCGCGCGGCCTCAAGATGTCGGTCACCTTTGTCGGCAACTCGACGGCCATCCAGGACGTCTTCAAGCGCATCGCCGAGCAGTTCTCGGCCATGTTCAAGCGCAAGGCCTTCATGCACTGGTACACGGGCGAGGGCATGGACGAGATGGAGTTTACCGAGGCCGAGTCCAACCTGCAGGACCTCATCGCCGAGTACCAGCAGTACCAGGACGCCTCGGCCCTCGACGAGGAGCTCGAGGAGGAGTACGTCGAGGAGGAGGAGCTCATCCAGGAGTAGACGCGCCATCCGCACCCGGGCGGGCCGCGCGCACCGGCAGACACCCGCAAGGCCGCCAGCCAGCCTGTCAGCCGTGCGGGTCGAGGCGTCGATCCAGAGGGGAAGTCGGCCGTGGGCGGCAGCAACAGAAGAGGTGGCGCGCCGAGTAGGCTCGTCGTTGTTCCAGCCCTGCTGTCCCCTTGCTCCCTCGCGCCGTCCGAACGAAGGAGCCTTGCCCAGCCGCCCCCGCCGCCGCTGCTGATGAGAAATGGAAAAGAAGCCCTCGCCGTCCCTACCATTCAAACCCGCTTCCCCTTTCTCTTCGACTTCTGACATCCTCCTTCCAGGCGCTCGATACCATTCCGAGAATCCCTTCTCTTCTTCCCCTTTCTCGACTTCGCTTTCGCCTTGTTTCGCTCCGTCATTGTTAGGGCTTGGTTCCGTGTCGCACGTCTTTTTGCCATCGGGAGAGCGCGCGCGCTCGTCGTCGCGCCCCTCTTTTGCTCGCCCCCGCGCCTCCGCCCCCGTCTCCGCCTTCTTGGGTCGTAGAGACGTGGCGGGGTCCGGGCGGAAGACTCGGCGGCCACACAAGAGGCGAATCAGAGATCGCGACCGTGTTCATACCCACCCCCAGCCGTCGAGTCTCCAACTTGTCAGTGCCATGGGCGGACGACGGGCCGATGGTGGACCGCCCGGCCAGCGCCCCCTTAGCTGGATCTTTCGGCGGCCGCCGCCGACGACGACGAGATGCGCAGCTAGGCCCACCGATTCACGCGCGGGTCGCGGGGCGAGCCGTCGAGGTCTCGGAAGGCACGCCGGCCAAGCGAGGGGACGGCCTGCCTGGCCTCGCCCCACACTCTCCGCCCAGCCCGACTCGACCCAACCCCCGCATCCGCTCGTTGGCTCGTGCTGCCAGGCTCCTGGCCTGGCCTGTTTGCGGCCTGCCCGCTGCACGCTGCCGCTCTTCCGCTGGTCAGGACCCGCAGCCTGAGCCTGCCGCCGCGACTCGATCTGCGCTGGGTCGGGATCCTTCCGAGACCGTGGTTCGTTCGTCGGCTTCCCACGACGACCACGGCCAAACGAGACAGGCCGAGCGGCCAGCGGTGCAAGCTGCGAATGGCCAGATGTTCGAGAGCGCCCTCGCCCATGCTCGCTTTCCCCTTTGACCCGAGCGGATGAGGCCGCCTGGGCTGGCGCTGGGCTGGCAGCAGGCTAGCCAAGGGAACCTTCTGGCTTGGGGTTTCGGACCGTCCGACCGCACTCGTGCATCTCCAGCCCAGCCAGCCCAGCCAAACGGCTAGCCAGCGATCGCTGTGGGGCTGCGTTGCAGGTGTCGTCTGGCCGCTCGCTCCGTCCGGCCTCCGCAATGGCCAGCTCCACCCTCTGCCCTGCCAGGCCCTGCGCAGAGCTTGGCCAGCGACG